TCACGCACACGCACACAGTCCATCCTCGCATACAACGGCGCCTCCATCATCGCCATGAAGGGCAAGGGCTGCGTCGCCATTGCCGCCGATCGCCGCTTTGGCATCCAAGCCCAGACCGTCTCCACCGACTTTCAAAAAACCTTCAAGATGGGCGATCGCCTGTTCATCGGTCTGGCCGGTCTTGCTACTGACGTGCAGACAGTGTAAGTTGTTTTTTTGGCATGTCACCCAAAGCGGGTCGCTTTCTGGCTCACTCCTGTTGTTTGTGTCGCTCGTGTGCTGTCTGCGGCAGGGCAAGCAAGCTCCAGTTCCGGGTCAACATGTATCACCTCCGGGAAGAGCGTTCCGTCGCGCCTGAAACGTTCATGAACATTGTCGCGAACGTGCTCTACGAAAAGCGGTAGGTGATTTGTGTCAACTCCCCCCCCCTACGCAGCACAACTCAACTCGAGCACTCACCCCGGCGCACTGTCGATTGTCACAACCAGATTTGGCCCGTTCTTCATTGAACCCGTTATTGCCGGCCTTGATCCCGTCTCTGGCGAGCCCTTCGTTGCCGCAACAGACCTGATTGGCTGCCCCGATGTTGCAGACGACTTTGCCGTTGTTGGCACTGCTAGTGAGCAACTTTACGGCATGTGCGAGTCCATGTATGAGCCAAATCTCGTAAGTTTCGAGCTCGAGGTTTCTGTTCGTTCGTTCAGCATTGTGTTTTGTTGAAAACTGTGAACTGACCTGCAACATTGGACCAAAACTCTGCAGGAGCCGGAGGATTTGTTTGAGGTTGTGTCTCAATGTCTCATGAATGGCTGCGATCGTGATGCCATCAGTGGTTGGGGCGCAGTCGTGCACATCATGTGAGTGGCTGTCAACAGCTGTCTATTGTCTCTTGTTGAATCGCGAATCTAAGTCTAACCTTTGGTGTTGTTGCTGCCCTGCCCTCTCCAACAGTGAAAAGGACAAAGTAACAACTCGGACACTGAAAGCTCGAATGGATTAACCAAAAAAAAAAAAAAAACCAAACACTTCGTGTCGTAGTTTTGCTCGTGTTATCACCACTGGTTTGTGGATGTGCCTGTTGCTCTGTATAATTTCAAAATGTCATTCCTCGTCCTTGCTTGTTGATCCATTCACCCCCCCCCTCCCCAATTGCGGTCGAATCAATGGATGCAAAGTGCAAGGGCACAAAAAAAAAAAAAAAATGAAAAAAAAATGAAAAAACCAACTGACTATTCTCGCCAAGCACATTTGCCCTCAAGATTTAACAAAGCGAATATAACCAAGAATCAGAGTAAGCGCAGAAACAATGATACCCGCAATGTACTTGATGATATCCAGCTTCATGGACTCCATCAGCGTTCGTAGTCCAGCAATCTGCCCACCACCCGATTCAATTGGAAAAGGCGCATGCCTCGTGAGCTCAAGACACATCAACCACTGAGTCTCACTCGACGCGCGCTGTCGCGTTTCACCATCAAGCAGCATAACATACCTCAGTGTCCAAGCGATTGTTTGTGTCCTTGATTTTGTGCTCCTGCGCCGTGGTATCCTCACGAATGCGCGACTTTTCCAAGCTAAAGTCGAGTCGCACGCCTGCCTTGAGCTTGGCGATTTCCTCTTTGAGCTGCTCGGTAATTTTGTCCATGTTTGCCTGACCATGACAGAATGAAAAAGAAAGAAAGAAAAAAAAAAAAAAGAGCCCCACATCCATTGGTTAGTACCAAAGTTGGCCTTTCAAACACACCCCCCCCCAATCACATCACACCGCCGTTGTATTGCAAAACTATTCAAACTGTTCGCACCTTTTGTTTGTCTGCTTCATTGCGCAGGATGGCAAACTCGCTCTTTTCGAGAATTTGCATTTCTTTGCGCAGAGTAGCAAGATCGCCCTGGTAGCGAACAAGGAATTGGTCTTGCTCGCTCTTGAGCATGGCATTTCGCAGAATATAGTTGACCGAGCTTGCCGAAATATCAGAGAGTGCCACCATGACGGCTTCGGCTTGTTGCTCGGTGAAGCCCTGTCGTCGCAGGCTCTGGACCAATCGATGCGTGTCAAAGTGGAACATGAACGCGTCGTTTGGCAAGTGGTTTCGGCTGAGGAGAATCTCGCTTCGTGGCACTGCGAACGACAAGTAGTTGTGCATTTGGGGAATGCCCGAAGACGACGACGACGACGACAACGACGAGGACGAAGAGGAGGTACCGGGCATTAGAGTGTTTGCAGCTGCAGCGTGGCCTACGCTTGAATTTGCATGAGCAGGTGCTCCTCCTACTGAAGCCACAGAGCCAATGGACGCGCCTGAGGATGCTAGTCCGGCAGTAGCTGCGGCGATGGATGGTAGCGGTGCTCCAGAGGTGCCAGCGGTGCCGATCGCGGCGTCCACCAGCTGGCTCGGTTGTGCGGACGCACTTCCCATCGCAGAATTGGCTGCCCGCGGTCTGAGCAGCGTCGGGTCGGACGACGGCGGGGTTGCTGTGCCGGGCAGGTTGGCGACAACGCTCTTGGCAGCAGCGGCAGCAGCGGCGGCGAGTGCTGCGGCAGGCGTTGCCAGCACCGTGGCCGAGACTGTTGGCGGCGGTGGGAGCGGTCCTGCAGCGACGGAAGCTGGCGATGTGGACGGCGATGAGGGCGAAGAGGCGGACGGCGAGGAGGAGGACGGCGACGCGCCAGGAGTGGACGCCAATGACGACGCTGGTTGTGTTGGTTGCTGCGTTGACGGCGGCAGTGGTGGTGATGTCGTCGGTGAGGCAGACGACGCGGACGAAGCGAGTGTGCGCAGCAGCAGCAGTGCATTGCCGCCAAGACCGCTCGAGAGCGAACCGAACGCCCGCGGTGCTCTCACAGCAACAGCAGCATTAGGAGTCGTCGCAGCAGCAGTACTGGTCGCAGTGATGGCCGCTTGTGCGCTGTGGGTGCGGTGGATTGGCCGCGGCTGCAACAGCGACAGCAACAGCGACAGCGACGACGACGAAAGCCCGCCAAATCTGAGACGCTGCTGAACGAGCATCAGAATCAGAGGAGAGTGGGCTTCAGTGCTTGCTTTGAACAAAATGAAATGACTGAGCGAGCGAGCGACCGAGTCTGAGATGTGTGGAAATTCAAGGTGAATCACATCACTCAGCCAGAAGCAATGGGAGAATGGAAGACGAACAAGCTTGTCGTACAGTACAGGAATCGACAAGGATCAACGAACGGGGGGACGGGGGAGGGGGGGGGGGAATGCAATTCTCAAGAAGCCAGTTTATATACTTGTAGTTGGCTTCACTTTCCAGTCCAAACAAAGTCTGAAAAAGCGAGACGGAACGAAACTTTGCTGAGCGTTGCGAGACGACTGAACAAAATGCCGAGCACTCTGCCAGCAAGCAACGACCACGACCACGACCACGACCACGACGACGGCAACGGCAATGGCAATGGCAATGGCAACGGCAACGGCAACGACAGCGACATCCACAGAAGAAGAGCAGACGCAGACAACCTGATGATGATGAGTGCCAGTGCAAGTGCCAGTGCTACAGACGCGGCCGATGAGCACCCGCTGATCCGGCTGCTGACGGGCGCACTCGCGAGCACCACCGCTTCAACCACGGCAGCATCAAGCGAGAAGAATGACGACGACGACGACGACGACGACGCTGGGCAGGAGCGGCAGATGAGCGCACAGTCACTCACGCTGGACGACCTGCGCGCTGTGCTGCTGCGACTGAACGACGCATCCACAAGCAGCACAAGCACAAGCACAAGCACAAGCACAGAGACGGACAGAGACACGAGCCTACTCGACGACCTGATGCTGCTCCTGCCTGCAAACGCACAGCAGGACGGCGGCGGCGGCGGCAGTGGCTCCCTCGCTCACGAGAATGAAGACAAAGAGCACGGCGACGCCAGTGACAACGCGGCCAGTCCCAAGGGCAATGGCCATGACAATGCCAACACTATTACAACTAGCAGCAATAGCAGCAGTAGTGGCAGTCGTCGTAGTCGGAGCAATCGCAGTACTACTGCTCGTGCTGATGCTCACTCAGACTTCAATCATCCGAACATTGATCGCGTCGCCGCAATGCTGCACGCCGCTCTCGACATTGACCAGGATGGCATTGTCACTCGACAAGACCTGATGGACGCACTCGCTGCGTTCCGTTTGTCGTCGTCGTCGCTGTCGTACGTCGACAGAAAACGATCCGCTTCCCAAGTCTCGTCGCATAGCCAAAGCCAAAGCCAAAGCCAGGCAGGCGCTCCTCCTCAGCACCCAAGCATTGACTACTTTGAAGTCCTCGGATCGACAGCACACGCAGATCTCAACAACCACTCCATCATCACCGACGATGGCTCTGTGGAATTTACACCCAATCAGTCCATGAACGGCCTGCACGACGGCGCCAATTCCGATGACAATGGTGATGATGATGATGATGGTGATGGTAATGATGATGCGACCGTCACTCGCACTCTGGGGCGTCGTTGGCCATCCGCGCCTCCGGCTCATTTTGCCAGTGCCACATTGTCCGCCACACCCCGACAAAGATCGCGTCAGCTGGTCGGCAACACGGATATTCACGAGACAATCCTGCAGTTTGACCCAACGCCACCAAGCGCATCGGCCTCGTTTCATCCGAACGCCTCCCATCTGTTCCACTCTGCCAATACGTCCTTCTCTGGCGAAGACTCGAGCTTTATTGCGGACGAGCGCGTGGCCTCGCTTCGCTCACAACACCAGCTCGAGGCCCACTTGGCATCGCTGGAGAGCGACTACGACCGCGTCGCAAAGACAAACGAAGAACTCGCGGAGAAACTGCGCGAAGGCGAGGCCAAGATTGCGGCACTCACGCGTGAAGTCGCAGCGCTGGATGTGTTGCGCACAGACCACTCGCAGTCACAGTCCGAGCTGGCCGATCTCCGCGAGACGATGGAACAGCTCGAGTTGGGACAACAGCGACGCCGCACTGACGACCACTCGGGCTCTCGCCCCGTGTTCTCCTCGGGTACCGAATCCGCAGGAATGCGCCCAACTAGCGGAGCACGGACACCGGACGACCGACCAAGCGGGCAAGCGGACGGTAACCAGACTGCGGCGGTCGGGCAACTCGGACGGCAAGCCAGCTCTCAGTCTGACATTGCCGCCGCCAGCATGGCAGCATCTGCGGACCTTGTTTCGCGGCTGATGGAAGAGCGGGAGGCCTTGTTCGAGGCCGAGCGCACATCGGCCGCTGCTGCCATTGAACAGCTCACAGCGGAGCGCGCGCAGCAAGCACAAGCCTCGCAGCATTTGGCTGCGCTTGTCACGGAGATGGAGGCAACAATCAAGCAGTCCCAGACTGCTTCCTCGGCGATTGTCACGGAAAACGAAGATTTGAAAAGCATGTACCAGTCTGTCGCCCAGTCTCTCGCCATCGAGCGCGAGCGCAACCGGAGTTTGCAAATGGCCATTGACGATCACATTGCTATTGCAGAAGGTCTGCATGCACGGAGAAAGGTATGCGGATGCGGGATGATTGTTTGTTTTTGGTTTTGGGTTTGGGTTTGGTTTTGGTTTTTTTTTTCTTGTTTTGCTTTGTTTTCACTTTTTGTTTTCGCTCGCTCACTCCCCCTTGCTTCGCTCTGGACTTTCTTGTTCACCCTCCCAAGGACTCGTCATCCGCAAACTCTGCACCAGCTGGCTCGCTCTCCAATGAACTTGCACCGTTCCTATCACCTCGCGCCGTACAGCGCTCGTCTCAACGACTGCAGACGTCCGCTTCCGCGAGCAGTCCCAGCGGCTCTCTGTCCCCCGAGAGCAGACTCTTGGAATTGATGCATCGGTGTCTCCAGACGATGGTGCTGCCGTCCATGCGCAACATTTCTCTGTCGCAGCCGCTCCCTTTGCCGTCAACTCCAAACCTGGATCAGGCAACGCTCGAGAATCTGAGCATCCCTGCGCTAGAGCAACTGTCATCCGTCATGAAGACAATGCTCGAAGTACGGTCCATGCAGCTGATTGAAAAGTATGATCAACGCGTCGTGCTGCAAGACGAAAAGGACTCAAAGCGGCGAATGTTGGATGCCCTGGCGCCAGTCGTCGCGGCCAATCCCGTTGCAAAGGGTCGGCAACGCTCCACCTCAAAAAACAAGCGCGATGCACCAAAAAGTTGATTGTCGCGGGTTTGGTCACATTTGTCGAATTTCGTTTTATTACACACATGCACACAAAACAATTGGTTTGATGACCCCTGCGTTTCGTTGTGTTTTGTTTTCCTCACTTGGAACTAGGACAGAATTACACGCCAGTGCTGGTCGTGATGGGGAAGCGCAAAGTTCGGCGAGCCTTGACTGCGTTGTCGTTGGTGCAGCATGTGTTGGCGCTGCAATCATCCACACCATCAGCAGCACTGCAGTCGAGCAAGCATGCCTTTTCGTCATCCACCGCGTACTGGAATGCAAAAGAGCAAATGCAAACGCAAAAAGCAAAAAGAAAAAAAATTAGCAACAATCGTTTTTAGACCAGCAGCACACCACAGCAACAACAGCCTCAGACGATTACTGACAGAATTTTGAACATGCTCGAGTTGAACGGTGGTAGAATGGATACCAAAGCGGTGGAAGAAGCCTTTGATTTGCGAAACAATGGCCAAACTGTCCTCCGCGTCCGAAGTGATGTGGACGGTGGCAATCAGATTGCCTTCGGAAAGCTCCCAAACGTGAAGCTCGTGAACGTCCACAACACCGGCCAGCTGCACAAGGCTGCTCTTGATGGTTTCGACGTTGACAGTGCTCGGGACGCTCTGGAGCAGAATCATGGACGATTGCTTGACGAGAGGAATCGAGTGGCTGAGCAGCAAGCAGGCAATGAACAAACTAAAGGCGAGACACCAAAGTGGCAGAGCAAAAATCAATGAACGTCAGCATCCATATGAAGGAGAAAGCAATGGAAAACTCGTCGTTCGTTCTTTTTTTTTGTTTGGTTTTGTTTTTTCTAAACGCAGAACTGCCAACACTCACCTGAGGGCGGGGTCAATATAAACCTTGCCGTCAAAGTCCGCAAACTCGAAAACGAGGGCACTGATGACGACGGCGACGGAACCGAGAGCGTCTGCCGCAATATGAAGGAAAACGCCGCGCATGTTGAGCGAGCCTCCGTGGCTGTGGCCATGTCCGCCTGAGGGTGCGGATGCGGCAGCGGCGTGGCCGTGGCCATGACCGTGAGCGTGACCGTGTCCATCGTCTACACACAACAGAGTGTTGCATGTGAGCTCAAACAGCGCCCCAAACGACAAAAAAAGCGCAAAACAAAACAAAAGCGCATACCAGCAACGACGGGCACCTCGGTGACTTGTCGAGAGTTGAAAATGCCCGCTTGAAGCTCGGTGGAAGAGGTCGTTTCGGTTGGGGGTGCAACCTCGCTGCCGCCGCCGTGGGAGTGGCCGTGGCCAGCGTGATCTGAAGGGGGGGGGGCGTTAGAGACCACATTTGTACGGCAAGCCGCTATCATTGTGGCAATGCAACAGCAAGCGGGGTGTTGTGGCACTTACTGTGGAAGAGCATCATGCCAATGAGGTTGATGAACAGACCAGCCGAACCAACGTACAGCACCAACCTCGGGTCTTCAATTTCTGTGGACAGAAACGTGTGTGAGCTTTGGATGCAACAACAGCAGTGATGGCATTTCTTCAACCCCGCTTTCTCGCTTTATCGTGCAGTGGTGATTGTAATTTGTTGGTTTTTTTACCTTCAGGCGAAAAGAAGCGAGTAATCGAATCGACAAAGATGGAGAAGCACAGGGCAATCAAAAAGACGCCGTTGATGAGTGCGCCCAGGACTTCTGCGCGGACCCAGCCGAAGGTGTTCTTGGACGAGAGCGTGTGCTTGGCAATCTGAGGAGATGAGCATCGACACAAAACGGTTTTGGATTTTGGGTTTGGGTTTGGGGGGTGAGTGTGTCATAGAACCAGAACAGCTCGGAAGCAGGAGGAGTGCTATTTCTCTCTTGCATGGCATGATCAAAATGCCATCAGGCGCTCAGACGAGATCAGATCGGAATGGAGACCTTTTTAATGACTCGGAGTGGTGCAACCACAACCACACCTCCGACGCTGAGCATGGGCAGGCAGGCACCCGACGTTCGCACACCGCTGCACCCCAGCTGCACCCCCGCCTCGTTTCATCACCTGCACAAAACCCAACAGCACTGAAAGCGAGTTGCTGCTTTTGTTGATTCTTGTTCATCCCGACGAGGATCCTTTCAAGTGGGTCTCCGAAACCACTCCGAGTGAATGAAGCTGGGGCACACCCCACAGCGTTGGCACCCCACATTGCCCCCTTCCGACTCGACAACTTGGTCGCAAAACACAGCCAGAAGAGCCCCACCCAGCCACATTGCCAAGCTGAGGCACTCGAAGTGGTTGAGTGGCAGAGAGGAGAGCAGGAGCGCTTGGCGTGGGGCTGTCGGAGTTCGGTCGCATTGGAGGTTTCGTCCGCAGCCAGCTCGCCCCGCGCCCTTGGAGCGGCCGCCTGCCGATGCATTGGTTGTGCCATCCATGCATCTGTTTGCTTTCAACCAAGCCAGCAAGCGAGCAGAGTGCAAACTGCTCAAAGCGCGCGCCTTCTTGGCTGCTTTCGCCTTCGCTCTCTCCGTCATGCATTTCCACTCAACCCGAGCACCAACCCAACCCAAACCCCCAGCCTGGTCGAGTAGAATCACCCATCAACTGTGGCTTTTTTCACATTGCCACAAACCACGGCCTTACGCGGATGGCAAAGAGGCCGACGAGCAGCGAGAGGACGTCCGAGAGCATGTGGAACGAGTCGGCAATCAGCGCCACAGAGTTGGTCATGTTGCCCACAACGAGCTCCACGACAAAGAACGACAGTGTCAGCGACAGCGTAATCGACAGTCGCACAGTCCGATTGCTCGACATGGTAAAACAAAAAACAAAAAAATAGAGTGAAAATTGGCTGAATGTGAGAAAGACAGCTGAAAAAAAAAAGGTAGACTGAGAGTGCCAAGCGGCTCAGAAAAACAAAAACTAATCCCGAGTGTACTGTAATAGACAGTATAAAATAGATGAAGGATGCACACGCTTCGTGCCCAGATTGAGAAATGCTCTCTCCGCAGTTCTGCATCCATTTCTGTACAGTATCCCTCACAAGTTGCCCGGATTGCATCGCTCCTTCCGTAAAACGGTACATCAGCGGTTCCAAATAAACCCAAACAATATTATTAACAACGACACAATCTAAGTCACACAGATCGTTGGAACAAAACTGCTACACGAAACCGAATGCACACAGCCCCAAAACATGTTAACGGACGGCGGAAGCCAAGCGATTCACGGTGAAACTCCCGATCCGTTTAAAAGTGCTCTGCTACTCAGAGACATCCCTGGGATGGACGATCGCATCCACGGAATGACCTCGCGAGACATGGCCGTGCAAAAGTACCCTCCGGTAAAGAGCTCGAAATGGAACAGGACGATGACCGCCGTTGTGATGACTGCGAGGATCCGATAGAGCACGGTCTGCTTGAACAACCTCCAGCACAGCACGGTGCGTTTCTGCACAACAAGGACCAATTCCGCAGAAAGTCAGACAACAGGGTTGTAGAATTGAGCTCTTGTCCATCCGCCGCCTTATTTTTTTTTTTCCTTCTTTTGCTTCCAAACATCAGACAAGCCTCAAAAGTTTCGTCGCTGAGCTTCTATTTCGCATTGCTGACCGAGTTGGGGACTTATTGAACGGTTGCGTGTCGAGGGCGGCGAAATAGTTTGAATAGTCCGGATTGGACAAACCTCGAGTTGCAGTGCGAGATCCGCTCTCCCATGCTCTCATTCTCTCTCATTCTCACCCCGCATTCGCCGTGCATCTCAATTTGCAATGAAGGCAGCAACTACGGTGGGAGGACGCGTTGGCCTTACAAGGATGAGCTCAATACGCGACTGCGGCTGCTGCTGCTGCTGCGCCGAGAGCAGCTCGCCTTCACCGGCCAGTCGGAGCAGTCTCCGCCGCCGCCGCACACTTCGCGAGGTGCCTGTGGTCTGTGCATGATGCGGCATGGCTGGGCTGGCAGCGTTGGCGCCGTCCTCCTTTGTGCTGTCGCTCGCGTCGTCGGCGCCGTGCTCGTGCTCGTGCTCGTGCTCGTGCTTGTGCTCGTGCTCCCACCACGGGCGCATATGAAAGTAGCCAATGCCAATCGCAAGCAGCGCCAGGAGCAGCAGGTACAAGACCCGCATCGGACACATGGCTACGGCTGGGTGAGATTTCGGTCTGTTGGTCTTCACTGCTTCCGAACGAACCCTCAAGCGGGAATAAGGACGAGTGAGTGGGCCTGCCCTGAATTACTTATTTCGAATCAACGACACAACGCAACACAGATCCAAATGCAAGACTCTTGCCGGTGAAATCTATCGATCGATGGACGGTGGGGAGCTCAGGTTTGCTTGAAGCGCCATCCATCGTTGGCCGTATCGTTCGTTTCCAAAAATCACCACTCTCACATACGAGGGCCCACCTCCCCGAAAAGCAGACAACAGGAGAGGGGGATGCGTGTTATTCAACCTTTGCTTTATCGGAGGCAGTCTTCCTTCTCAACAGTGAGCGCTTGCTTTGCGGCTCAGTTTTGTTGCCATGTCCGACATTCCCGGCTTTGTGACGACAGACCGCGATCAGGTGAGTGTGTGTCTGACTGTTGTTGTTGCGTGTCTATTTGTATGAGAGTGAGTGTGTGAGTGAGTGTGTGAGTGAGTGTGTGAGTGAGTGTGTGAGTGAGTGTGTGAGTCGATGTGTGTGGGCATCTCTCTCCCAAAACACAAGCTTCATGCGAACGAGAGTTGCTGTCCCTCTGCTGGGGCTGCTGCTGCTGCTGATGATGATGATGATGTGCCACTGCAATGCATCAACACATGGATTGGCACGTACAAGAGTGAGTGAGTGAGAGAGAGAGAGAGAGAGAGACAGAGACAGAGAGAGACAGAGAGAGAGAGAGAGAGACAACCAAGACCGAGACAACCAAACAATAACAAGGTTTAGCCTGTGAGCATCCCACTCTCAGTCAATCCTCTTCACTCCAGCCACTCACAATCCGCACTCAGTGGGATGATGCATGGATGATTGAATGCAACGTGAATTCACCGCCCAGTCACCTTCACCTTCAGCACTTTGCAAAGAAAAAAATACGCCCTGTTCTCAGCCTTTCTCAGCCTTTCTCAGCCTGTTCTCAGCCTTTCTCAGTCTTTCTCAGCCTTTTGCTTGAATGCCTGCTGACTGATTGTTTTTTGGTTGTTTGTTGTTGCTGAATGTGCTCAGGCCTTGCAGCTATTGAGAGCATACATCCAGTATGACGGCGCCTTCCTTGTTCGACTCAGCGAGAGCGCTGCCGGATTCTACTCGATCGGTGTCACGTAAGCCCTTTGTTGCTCAGAATTGTTTCTCATCTTGGCTCGAAACGTCCCTCCTTCACTCAGTGTTGCTCATTGTTTTTTGCTCGTGCTTTGCCGGGTTCTGGGTGCCTCCTTCAGCTCAAAGGGCGCAATCAAGCACTTTAAGGTTCAGCTTGACGAACAGCGGCAAGTGTACATTGCCAAGAAAAAGTTTGCGTCCGTGCGCGAGCTTGTGCTCCACTACATGCAGAGTCCGATTCGCTCAAACCAGTTCGACGACCCCATCATGCTGAAAATCCCAATATTCAATCCGGACGTGTCCGTCCAGCCTCACTTGGCCTTCCCGGAGCCCGTTCCGTCGGCGGTTCCACATCATCGCAGCAGCCCATATCCGCTGCCAGAGGTGCCACCCCCAGTTCCCAGCAGAAACGTGCGAGGATCAGTGATCGCCGAGAGACCAGCCATGGCCCCCGAGCGACATTTCGTGGCCGAACGACCAGAGCCTATTCCAAGACCGGTTGTTTCCGACCGACCAGAGCCAATTCAAAGACCGGTTGTTGCCGAACGACGTGAACCGGTTCAAAGACCCGGGGTTGTTGCCGAACGACCACCAGAGCCAGTCCAACGACCAGTTGTTGTCGAGCAGCCAGTTGCAGCACCGCGGCCTGCGGTGGCACCACGACCTGCGGCATCGCGGCGACCAATAGTGGCAGAGCAGCAGCCGAGGCAGCAATCTCCATTGTTAGCAGTCCCCGAACGACCCGCGCCAACGTCCGGCTCCAGGAGTCCCCTTCCAAACATTCCTCGAGTCAGCATGCAAGTCCTGGCCCAGGTAACGAGCAATTTTGCAGACACCAAGAAAATCGGGGGAGGCGGCTTTGGCAGCGTCTACTCTGGTGTCTGGTGTGGTCAACACGTTGCCGTCAAACGGTTGGCTGCAGAATCGGCGCAGGGCGTCGCTCAGTTCGAGGCCGAGCTCGAGGCTCTATCTCGCTTCCGTCACCCAAATATCGTCACCGTCATGTGCTACACAGTGGAAGGCAACGAGCGCTGCCTGGGCCTCGAGCTCATGGTCAATGGCTCGGTTCGCGACCGCCTCGACCGCAAAAACAACAGCCCCCCGCTGAGTTGGCGCCATCGGCAAAAGATTGCAACGGAAACTGCGAGCGCGATGCACTTTGTCCAGACTGCGGTTGAGGGTCAGCCTCTTTTCCACCTGGACCTCAAAACGGCCAACATTCTGCTGGACGAAAACTTTAAAGCCAAGGTCGCTGACTTTGGCCTGACGCGCCAGGCACCGACTCCGATCGATGCGCATAGCTACATCCGCGCAGACTCTGTTCAAGGAACCCTCCAGTACATTTGCCCCCAGTATCGCGACGAAGGCAAGGTGTCCATCAAGACGGACGTGTACTCTTTCGGAATGATTCTGCTTGAGCTGCTGACTGCGGCAAAACCCTGTCTCGACCTGATTGGCTCGTTCAATCGGGAGCTTCGCAAAAAGCACAAACCCGACGCGTTGCTTGATACCGCGATTGATTGGAGTGTTGCGGACAAGCAAGCGGCGCTTGTCGTGGCCGAGCTGGCGGCGGATTGTCTCGAACTGGCTCGCGTAGATCGGCCCACGTTTTTGGAAGCCGTGCAGCGATTGTGTGGCGAGCAGGTTGCTCAAGACGCGCACGGCGACAATCATGCTCCCGAACGGGATCGCGAGTGCTTGATTTGTGCGGATGCTCCCACCACGGCCAAGCTCCTCCCATGCCGGCACGCTTGCGTCTGTGTAGAGTGTGCGCAGATGCTCTTATCGAACGGGCCCGTCTGTCCCGTTTGCCGGGGCGCGATTGCAAGCTTTGATCAAGGTGAATTTGATCAAACTTTTGTCCGGTGAAACAAACGACTTGCGTGAGATTGTCGCGTTGCTCTTTTTTTTTCCTTTTGCTTGCCAGTGTTTAGTTTGTCGTTCGCTGTTGTGGACCAACAAGCGAGTGCTCGATGATGATGATGATGATGATGATGATGATGAATTGGATTGGTTTTTGTATGGCAATGGCTACTTCTCTTTTCCTTCCTTTTCAACCACGGCGTTTCCACCCAGCGACTCGTCTTCTTTGTCTTTTTCTGCTGCCGCCGCTGCCAGTAACGCAGCATCGGGCCTTCTTGCATCGTACGGAGCCAGCACAGGAGCAGGAGCAGGAGCAGGAGCAGGAGCAGGAGCAGGAGCAGGCTTTGAGTCGCGGTTTTCGTCGAGGGGCAGCAGTTACACCAACCTGCCGCTCCTCGCCGCCTCGTCATTATCGGCATCATCATCATCATCATCGCCCACTCCAGGACCCCAGCAGTATCAGCAACAGCATCAACAGAGCGGCGGCAGTGGCGGAATGTCGGCGTCTCCAACCGCGTCAATGTACTCGCTCTCGGCGTCGACCAGCACGACGACCGCCACCACGACGCTGCATCCAAACAACCACCTCACTCTGGGCGACGGCAGCAGCAGCAGCAGCATCAGCAGCAGCGGCGGTGGTGGTGGTGGTGTCGGTGCGCGGCACTCTGGCTCCTACTACACTGCGACCTCGTCACCGTCGCAGCACCCTCAGAACGCCCTCCTCCACCCCTCAGGCTCGGGCTCAGGCTCGGTCTCAGGCTCAAGTGCAGCGATGCAAGGGCTTAACGCAGGCTCTGGCGTGGCTCACCAACAGCATCAGCAGCAGCAGCAGCAGCAGCAGCAGGTCAATACTGCCTCGTCACCAGCGTTCGGATTCACGCTCAACGCAAGCAACAGCCATCATCACCACACGACAAGCGCGACAAGCATGACAAGCATGATGAGCTCGGGCAGTACACACAGCAGTAGCGGCGCCGTCAATGGCAATACAACCAGCACTGCTGCGACTGCGACTGCGACTGCGAGCGAGGCCGTCGCTGCCACTGCGGCACTCGCGTCGACCGCGGGCCTGCCTGCGCTCGAAGGGCGGATGCACAAGTGGACCAACTACCTGCATGGCTGGCAGGAACGCTACGTGCAGCTGTCGGGCGGCGTCCTGTCCTACTTCAAGTCGCAGGCGGACGTTGCGTACGGCTGCCGTGGCTCGATGAACCTGCGCGAGGCCGTCGTCCTCGTCCACCCGTACGACGAGCTCAGGTTTGACGTGGCCCTGCAGGACTCGGTCTACTACCTGCGCACACAGTCCAACGACGACCGCGAGCGCTGGGTTGAAGCCATCGAAACGTCCAAGACCACGCTCATCGAAACAATGTCCATCAGCTCGGCAGGGAGCGTCCGCAAGAAGCAGTCGGCCAAGTCGCTCGCGTTTGCAGCGTCGCTCAAGGCCAAGACGCTCAAGGAACGGCTGTCAGAGATGGAGAGCTACCGCGACATTCTCGGCAAGCAGTCCGACCAGCTGCTCTTGTACTATGAGCAACTCCTAGCCTACCACCAGCAGCTCGCCATGGCCAGCGTCTCCAATGTTGCCCAGCTGAGCGAAGGCGACGGCCCGCTGCCCCCGCCCCCGCCACCCCCGATCGACGAGAACGAGCTCCGCGAGGAAGTCATCACCTACAAGGCCACCTCCTCGGGCATGGTCACCGCGCTCGATGAAGTCATCCAAGAGGTCACGAAGAAGGACGAGGAGTTTGCAAAGCGGTACGAGCACGAAGTGGAGCGACGGCGCCAAGTGGAAGTCGAGCTGGCCAATCTGCGCTCGACCAAGCGGCCCATGCCTGCGATTCAAAACAAGCTTCCTGGGCCTGATATGGAGGAAGGTCCCCATTCGTCCCTGAAGGTAAAGCCCGAGAACGAGAGGTTTTGCGTGGTGTGTGTGTGTGTGTGTGTGTGTGTGCGCGCGCCTTTTGGTCGGGGTTTTGTGCGCGCTGCTGAAGACTGTTGGTTGGTCCAACGGTACACTCAACGTTGATTGGCCTCCGTCTTCAGGATGACGAGTTCTTTGACGCAGTGGAGGCTTCCTTGGACAAGAACGACGCATTCCAAATGGAAGATCAGACTGCACGCCAGCTGGCAGCTGGAGCACATCTCGCTCCGCTCGGCAAGCACCGATTTGCGGACGTGGTCACCAAAGGTCTTGCGGAAGCAAAGCAGTTTGAATCGGAAGACGTGGAGCACGACAAGCTTTGGTCTGTGGTGCTGGAAGAAAACACGACAAAGGTAAGGGCGACTTTTTTTTCCCGTTGTTCAATCGCTTTTCGCTTGGAGCTGTTGCCTTGGTGAATGGCGTCTCACGATTCACAATCACGCCCTTGTATACGTGTTAGGTTTGGCGTCGCGAAATTGAAGACGCCAATGGCGCGCTCTTGTTCGATCGACTTCGGGCGCATTGCGATATTCCCGGTGTTTCCGGGCGCGAGGTGGCAGATGTATTTTACGATGAGGAGAAGCGACACAAACTGGAAGATGGTATGTGTTTGGATTGGAATGGGGTGTCGATGTGTGGTGGATTTTTTTTGTTTCGAATTTGCTGGGTGCTGACTTGATGTTGCTCGACTGAATTGTTTCCTTTTGAAATCCGGTAGCCATTTCGGAACACCAGCGCACCCTCGAGCTGCTCGATACCAATACGTACATTCAACAGGTCTTGTACAAGAAGGTCTGGCCTGCAGCGCAACGCGAAGCCGTGTGTATCGTTCATCTTGAGCAACTAGGCCGATTTGACTGGGCTGCATGCTGTTGGTCTGTCGATCACAAAGACGCCCCGGTAAGAGAATTTTGGAGGCGATTTTGTTTTGTGATTGCAAATGCTAACAACGTCTATTCATTGCTGAAACGAACTGTGCTTTTTTTTTTCTATTTGTTTTCCTAAAATTGAACTCGTGCAGGCCGACAAATACTGTCGTGTTACCACAAGTGCCTCGCTGATCTGCCGAACGCGCTTCCATCCAAGTGTCGACGTGAGCAAAATCACTGACCTGTCTGCAGTTCCCCGTGACAAGATTTCCGCGCACGTCATGTATACGGCCTGCGTCAATCCCGGTGGCTGGGCGCCCATCACTGTCGTGCGTGCTGTTGCCAAGCGTGAATATCCAAAGTTCCTCCGTCGCATCGAGCAGATTGCCCTCAGCTACGTCAAGCCCGGCTCTCCTCTCGTTCACTAGTAGTACTAGCGTAGTGTAGTGTGGAGAGGAGTTGGATTTTGTGTTGCTCATTGCAATTGCGCAGTCACCCCTTTTGTTGGTTTCCGCTTGCATCCGATTGTGACTGTGTTGTCTTCCCTCTTCCTTTTCTTTCTTGTATTTCCGAAATTACCAAAGTCGTTCTTGTTGTTGTTGTTGAATCTGTGCAAATCTCCGTTGCTGAGCGCGGTTGATACTTGTTCATGTTTTGCATGTTTGGTGACTCTCCGGTTCGCTTCTTACCTCGTCACATCTCTTTATATTCGGATCACTCTTGTTGATGGCCTTGCACGATCAGCAGTCGCCGTTGTCGTTGTCGTTGTCGTTGTCGCTCAGTCACTCGACATTGCCAAATCGCCGCTCCTCGCTTCCCTCTGCCTCAGCCTCTGCCTCTGCCGCGGTGGCTCTCGCTGCTCCCACCACCTTAGGACCATCTGTTCCGCCATCGTTGCATCCACCTGCCCCTCACGCTGCTGCCTCAGTCACTCCAGCAGCGACAGCAACCACCTCCGCACCGACCTCCGCACCACTCGCCTCCGCGTCCCTTCCCCTAAACCTTCCCCTTCCTCCGCCGACCCAGCCACTCGCTCCGTCCGCCACTCCGCGGGTCCTCAGTCGCATCCTGCGCTCGTTGTCCATGTCAGTCGCTTCAACCGTTGAGTTGAGCGTTTCGTTGTTGTCGTTTGTCAGACACGATTTTCCGTCATCAAATCACATTACCAAAAAAAAAAAACCATCAAAAAGTCTGAGCTTCTTGCGATTTGTTCTTCAAAACAAACAAACAAACAAACAAACAAACAAACAAAAGCACACGCTTTATGCTTTCATTCGGACTTGCTCACCTTTTGGTCTGCTGCTTGTGTTACAGAGACAGCGAACCGACCAATTCAAACAAGAACGCTCCTCTGCCAATCTCAAACAACGAGACTGCCATTCCCGAGCAAGACGAGGTACCAGCAAACATCACGAAAGACACCGCGCCGCGAGCTGGCTCGCCTCTAACTCCGGACGATCTCCTTTTGGATTGCATCGAGCCATCGTTCGACTACTCAACATCGTCGACGTGGTGCGGGCTGGATTCCGACTCGGATCACTCTTGAACGACTGCACTCGCATTGTGTGCAAGTCCTGTTCCTGCTTTTACTGTGAACACAAATGGAACGGCGCGTCACCCGCTCCCAAACCCGGCAGGCAGCCGAGGAAGAAGAAACTCAGCCGGAAGGCGACAACTCGGACCAATATGAGGCCGGATTCCATACCGACGATGGCGATGATGAATACGAAGATGTCGAAGATGAGCACGACGACGATGAACACGCTGACGATGACGACGACGACGACGACGCCGCCGACGACGACCAAGACGAAGACGACTACTACGTGGACGAAGAAGAAGAAGATCCCGCACATTCCCTATTTACCGGTCAGCAAGCACTGATTGCGCAGATTCTTGGAATCTTTCCTCGCGCATCACCTCCGGAGGAGCCCCCTGTTGCCCTTGATCCCGCGCTTCAAGCTGAGCTTGCAACGTTACGGGACGAGTTCCGTCAGCTCCTGTCTGCTCAAGTGGCGGCCTCACCACACGGCGTGGAAGCGCTGTTGCATCGCAAGCCCTGCTCGTGGCAAGCGCCCATGTCGGCCGAGTCACTCATCACTCCTCCCGACGCTTGCACCGGAGCAAGCGACGACTTGTCGGACTCCGTCCCCGTCGTCCCGCGTTCGCCGCCACCTACCCTGCCCAACAACATTGCGCTCCGGTTGAGCCAGCGAGAAACAATGACCGCGCTTGGTTTGCGAATGAGCGGTGCTGCGCGGGTCGACTTGGCTTCTCGGTACTGGCTCATCCCGTTTTGTTTTTTTGTTTCGTTTGTTGCGAAATTGTGCTGCTCACTCCTCTTTGCGTGTTTGTCTTTGTGTCCGGTTTTATTTTCTTGCTTCTTTGGCTCTCGTCACGTAGGTTCCTTCCCAATAAGCGCGTTCGAAATGTGGACGAGTATATGAGCAAAGTCTTCTGCGGCCAATATTCCGATGATGGCACTGTTTTGGTCACCGCGGCCCAGGTACGCGACCTCTGATTTGAGTAGTCGGTGTCAATCATCAGTACCCGCGTATATTGCAATGAGGAGCTGAACTCTATTTTGCTTGTCTTTCGTTTTGCTGGCGACAGGACTCGCGCATTCGAATGTACGACACCAATTCCTACACGGTGTACCGAGAAATCTCCGCGCGCGACATGGGTTGGTCGATCATTGACGTTGCCTTCAGCCCCGATCAAAAGTTTGTCATTTACTCCACCTGGTCGTCGAGCATCAATCTCGTAAGATGACTGTTGATATTATTTTTTTTTCTTTCCTCGTGGTGCTGAAACCCGCATTCTCAACGCTTGATCGTTTGTTGGTTGACATTCTTTTAGGTCAACGTCACGGGACACTCGCTGTTGCACCAATCTCTTGATCTTCAACCGAGCGGCTCCTCGCACTTTTGCCCCTTTTCCATCAGCTTCTCGCGAGACTGTCGCGAAATTTTGGCTGGCTGCAGTGACAGCGACGTTTACATTTACGATATCGAAGCGCAGCAGCGCACTCTTCGAGCCGTAGGCCACACGAATGACGTGAACGCCGCCGCCTTTGCTGACGAGTCTTCGAACGTGATCTTTTCTGGCAGTGACGACGGCACCGTCAAGGTTGGGCTTCGTTTAGTCTTGTTCTGTTTGATCGGTGTGTTTTGTCTGCTTCTGCTACTCGACTGGTTTCCTAACTCTGTGGTCTGCGGAGGGCAGGTTTGGGATCGTCGAGAACTCGGACGCGCCCGTCGAGCCAAGCCTGTGGGCCAGTTTATCGGACACAACAGTGGTATTACATTCCTCGATGCAAAGGTAACGCGTTTGTCAAAAGCACAGGTTGTAGCGCCGAGGCAGAGCTTCATGCCGCTGACGGCTGCGGTTTGTGTGACAGGGTGATGGCAGGTACGTCATTTCCAACGGCAAAGACGAGTGCATCAAGCTCTGGGATATTCGATGCATGGCGCCAGCAGGTGCACGTCCACCGCATGCAAACCACCACGACTATCGCTTTGACGCTCGCCGTGCAGGTGAGGGCTTGCTCGAACAACTGGAGCATTGTATTTGTTAGTAGGATTTTCCCGGCTCACCGGGTTTTTTTTTTCTTTCTGTATGTGTGTGACAGTTCGCCGAGTCATCCCATCCGACACGTCCATCATGACGTACACGGGCCATCGAGTCGCCTACACCCTAATTCGAGCGTGCTTTTCTCCTGCATTCTCCACTGGGCAAAAGTACATTGTTGCGGGCTCTGCGAACGGCACGCCAATGAGTAAGCACTTTCGCGACATGGTTGATGTTGTTCTCCATTCGTTCTAGTGCTCAACGTGCTCGTTGGTTGTTGCGCTCTCGTGTTTTATGCATTTTTGCGGTTTTTTTTTCTTTTTTGTTTCTTTTGTTTCGGTACAGTTTATGATGTTCTGACTGGCGAGTGTGTACAACGCCTCGTTGGCCATCGTCAGCCTGTTCGCGACGTGTCTTGGCATCCGTTCGAGCCAGTCATTGCCACGGCTTCTGTGAGCACAACACCTTGGCTGCTTTTTGTGATTATGGCGAGGTGGTTTTCACTCAATGTGTTTCTGCTCGATGCGCCCTTTTGGTCTTGTAGTGGGACGGCACGGTCGGCCTCTGGGAACACGAGCGCCAAGGTGCAATGGAGCACTAAAATGCTTTGATTCAATTGGGATTGCAATCAGCGTCTTTGGACTTTGCAACGGTTTGCGGTTGCTTCTTCCATTCGACAAAATGCCTTCCCCCCCCCCCTACATTGTACATTTTGAACAGAACGAATACCATTGAATTCCTTGTATTGGTACTTTTTAAGATCAAGATGAAGAGAAAACAAAGAGATGAAGAAAGGGATCATAACACAACACCAACCAAACAACGTTACAACCAGATCTTAACGACGTTGGAAACCGCGGTTGAAGCCGCCTCCGTTACCGCCTCCGTTACCGCCGCCACCGCGCGAATATCCACCGCGGCCGCCAGAGCCACCGCGGCCACCAGAGCCACCGCCGCCGCCGCCACGGCCCCAGCCGCTGCCTTGGCTGAAGCGTGCAGCAGCGCCAGCGTTGCCACGACCCGCAAAGCTGCTCGCGTTACCGCCGCCGTCCGTCTCGACGAGATCGGGCAGCGTGGTTGCAACGTAGATCTTGGTGGTGGGCTGGTCAACCCAGTGCTCCTTGATGGTGTCGACAACATCGCTGGGGCAGTCAAAGGCCGCGCCAGTGTGGTCCTTGAACAGACGCATGCCGCGGAGGGCAGGGCGCACGTTCGGGGGCAGGTGCCGGTCGATAATGGACCAGAAGAAGGACGGTCCGCGAACATCGTATGTCAGCTGGATGCAGAAGGTAACATAGCCCTCCATCGAAGACAGGAGCGAGCGCGTCTTGATTTCAAAGACGCCGGAAATGACGGCAAGGGCGGCCGAGAGCGCATCGACGGCGCCGGCGCGTGCAATAACTTCCTCAGCAGCCTGGTGGAAGAGAGGGTAGACGGCCGGAGACACCTTGGCCAGCGAGCGTGCAGCGTCGTTGGCACTGGCGCTGACAATGTCTTGCGGCTGAGGAGGACCGATGCGCTTGAAGGCCATCCGGGCCTTGCCCTCGATTCGTCGCACAAGGCTCTCTTGCTGTGGCTTGTAGAACAAGATGCAGGTGCCGCTCTTGCCAGCGCGACCGGTGCGGCCAGCGCGGTGAATGTACGTCTCCACGTCGATCGGGGGCTCGGTTTGGATGACCAGCTCAACCTCGGGAATGTCAAGACCACGGGCAGCCACGTCTGTTGCGACGAGGCAGCGGAACTTGCCAGAGCGGAAGCCAGCCAGAGTGATTTCACGCTGCTTTTGGGCAATATCGCCGTGAAGAACATGGGTCTCGCCGGCAATGCGGCCGTTCAGTGCAAGATCGTTGGCCTCCTCCTTGGTTGAGGCAAACACCATGCATCGGCCATGGGAGCCACTGTAGACGCGAACAACGTCGCCGATCGCGTTGGCGCGCTCTTGCCATGGGCAGCGAATGGCCAAGTGCTGGATGGTCGTGGATGTCTGCTGATCGGTGCCGCTCACGAGATCGACCATGACCTTGTCCTCGCGTTGGTACTTTTTGGTGAGCGCCTTGACCCAGGTGGGCATGGTGGCCGAGAAGAGCAGGATGCGAGGCTTGGCGTCGCCGATGGGCAATCCAGCCATAATCTCGTCAACGTTTTCCTGGAAGCCGACCTCGAGCATGCGGTCTGCCTCGTCGAGAATCATGACATCGATGCTTCGGAGGGACAGGTTTCCGCGGTTGTAGTGGTCAATCAAGCGACCAGGGGTGCCGACGACGACGTCCAGTCCCTTGCGCATGGCGAGTTCTAATCATGAGGGGGAGCGGGTAGGGGGGGGAGAGAGAGAGCCAAAGAAAATAAGGTTGTTTCAGTGTGAGCAATCAATGGGAGACAGACACAACAACATACAACACAACAAAAAAACCCAAAAAAGCCCAAAAACAAAAAGTTCGCCATTTACCTTGAGGTCCGTACTCGACACCACCGTAGACACAGATGGATGCAAGCTGCGGGGCAACCGACTCAAAGACGCGGTGGACTTGGCTGGCCAGCTCGCGGGTGGGTGCCATGACGAGAACGGCGGGAGCGCGACCCTTTTCCGAGCGCGGGTTTTTCAGGAGGCGCTCAATGACGGGCAGGGCGAATGAGAGCGTCTTGCCGGAGCCGGTGCGAGCCTGGGCAACAATGTCCTTGCCCTCGAAAATGGGGTGGTAGGTCTGCGCCTGGATGGGGAAGAGCGTGCGGATGCCCTGGGCGTGCAGGTTGGCAATCGAAGTCGCCGACACGCCAAAGTTCTTGAGGGCAAACTCCGAGTTGTCTGCCTCCTCGTCGGTGGGCGACGCAGCACGCGACAGATCGCGCGACGGGGTGCCAGACATGAGACCGCCGGACGCGAGGCCCGCGAGGCCCTGGACCTGCTTGTTGACGGCCTTCTTCTTGGACGAAGCGGCAGCGTCGCCGTCAATGCTGTCGTTGTCATCGTTGTCATCGTTGTTGTCGTCCTTCTTCTTGGATGACTTTTCCTTCTTCTTGTCCTTGTCCTTGCTCGACGACTTGCTGTCCTTGTCCTTGCTCGACGACGACTTTTTCTTCTTCTTGCTGCTGTCGTCGGCGGAGGTGTCCATGTCCTCGACGCCGTTTCCATTGCCATGATCATCGTGATCGTTGTCATCATCATCAGCAGCAGCAGAAGCAGCAGCAGCAGCAGCAGCAGAGGCGGCCGACTTGCTCTTGGACTTGCTCTCGGCCTTGGTGTCCCGCGTGGTGACATTGAGCTCAATCTCGCTGCTCGTGCTCGACTTGCGCGTCCGCTTGGCCGGCACGTCCGCCTGCTCCGTCTGCGCGCGCAGTGTCTCGCTCGACTCTTCAGACCGTCGCTTGCTGCTCATTTTGTAATGATCAATGTGTTCCTTTGCCCTTTTTGCTTTGTTGTGCTTCTGAAATGAAGAACGGAAGGACAAGCCAAAAACTGTGGAAAAACAGACTGAGACGGACGAATCCACGTGGAAATGCTACAGCAGTACAGTACAAACTGACAGGAAACAGAGTGAACGTCGAACAGAGACAGTGGTGACAGTTTGGAGAGTTGAATCAAAAAAAGCAAACCAAACGAGAGAAAGCAAACCAAACGAGAGAAAGCGAGAGAGAGAAGTGACCTGCAATAGAAGGCGCCGTTGCTGGCTGCACCTTCCTTCCTTTCACGTTGCTACGTTGTTGCACAATCGTTCTTGTTTGTTTCCATCAACCAAAAAAAAGCATTCGATCACCAACAACACAAAAGCTCACTCTCTGATTTTTCACAATCTGCTTCACAATCATGTCCACTGTAAGAAGAAAAGATCGAGTCAAAGGATTAAAATTTGAACGAATTGTCACCTCATTCAACGACTCCATCTCTCACTCTCTCTCTCTCTCACTCTCTCTCGCTCTCTCGCTCTCCCTCTTATGTGTGCTCTACTGGTGTTGCATCTCAGTCCCCAACTCCCCCGCAACTCCTCTCCTTCCTCGGTGCTCACACAAAACGCAAGTCAAGTTGCGGGACGTTAAACTCGCACTCGTCTTCTCTCTCTTTTTTTTCATTCTGACGCACTCAATCGCTTCTCCACTTCCACTTCCACTTCCACTACTACTACAACTACTTGCTTCCCACTGCTACTGCGTTAACACCACTGACAGACCAGCTGCTGTCGTGTCATCACTGCCAGCGGTCGTTTTATTCAAACATCAAAAAATCCCAACGTTCCAATCACCCGCTTCCAATCCCCCCACACCCCACACATACATACACACACATACACTTCACACTCCTCAAACACCTCACTCGACTCCATCAACTCAATCAATCTCACAAATCATGTGCTTTGGTCGTCTGGAAAATGATCATCAACCAAAAACAAACAGCTCGCTGAGAAACTGTTCGGCTCCACCCAGTCCGCCGAGTCCGCCGCTGCCCACGCCAAGGCCATCCCCAGCCGCAAGGTCACCGTCGTCGGCGTCGGCCAGGTCGGCATTGCCTGCGCGTATGCCATCCTCCTCCAGGTACAGTACATCTCGAAAATGTTGTTGAAATTGAAAAAACGTTGCTCAGCCGCTCTGATCTGAACGAGTGCAGAACATTGCGTCTGAGATTGCGCTCGTCGACGTTGTCGCGGACAAGCTCAAGGGCGAAATGATGGATCTCCAGCACGGTCTCGCCTTGATGAAGAACGTCAAGATCAGGTAAATTCACAATAACAGATTTTGGTTCTCAACATTTTTGTTTTTTTGTTTTCGCCTCTACCACAACACTCACTCACTCAGCAACAACGACTACAATCCGATTTTGTAGCGCAAGCACCGACTACGCAGTCACCGCCAACTCGGATCTGTGCATCATCACCGCTGGCGCTCGTCAGCGTGAGGGAGAGTCGCGCCTGGATCTCTGCGGTCGCAACGTTGCCATCTTTAAGAGTAAGAGCCAGGAAACCAAAGGAGATACTCGCTCTCAGCTGAGCTCATTGTGTGTTTTTTTTAAAACCTGCTCGATCTCTCCTCGAAACCTTCCCATTTTTTTTTCTGGTTTTTTTTTTTTTTTTGGCGTTCTGCAGACATCATCCCCAACTTGGTCAAGAACAGCCCCAACACCATTCTGCTGGTCGTCTCCAACCCCGTGGACATTCTGACCTGGGTCACCTGGAAGCTCTCCGGCCTCCCTTCGTCGCGCGTGATTGGCTCTGGCACCACGCTCGACTCGTCGCGCTTCCGCGTTCTCCTGGCCGAGAAGCTCGGCATTGCGCCCCGCAGCGTCCATGCCAACATTATTGGCGAGCACGGCGACAGCAGCGTCCCCGTCTGGTCTGGCGTCCACGTTGCTGGTGTGCCGCTCCGCTCGGTCGTGCCAAACCTTGGCAACGGCGACGCCGAGCACTTTGACGAGGTCGCCAAGGCCGTCACCAACTCGGCCTACGAAGTCATCAAGCTCAAGGGCTACACGTCCTCCGCCATTGGCGCCGCCGTCGCTCAACTCGCCGACTCCATCCTCTCGGACTCGCACAACGTCACCCCCGTCACGACCCCCGTCAAGGGCCACCACGGCATTGAGCAAGACGTCTTCCTCTCGCTCCCCGCCGTCCTCACCCGCGCTGGTGTCAGCCGCGTTGTCATCCAGCCGCTTGACGCCCAGGAGACTGAGCGCCTGCATACCTCTGCCGCCGCCCTCCACGCAGTCCAGAAGGATCTTAACGTCTAAGCTAGAGAGCACGAGTGGTTGTACGGCGCGTGTGTGCGTTTGAACACAAAAACAAAGCCCAATACCTATTCAAAAATAGTCATTGTGCTTGAAACATGCTGCTTTCTGCCATTGCACCAAACAACTTCATGGCTCAACAATGTTGTGCGCGCGAGCAATGGGTATGACCGCCTCAATGTACTCGCGTGGTAGATAGGCATGGGATAGCGTTTCTATTGTTTGGGCAGGTTGAATTTGTTTTTGCCTGCAAAACAGCGAGCGCAGAGAAGGGTCAGAAATCAATCTCGCGTCACAACAGACAACACACACACACACACACACGACCCGGTACGCACCTTCGCATCAAGAATACTACGTCCTCTGCATCGATGGTCTTGCGCTTTGCGTGTTGAGCGAATGCGACGAGATCATCGGCGGCTTGGTTTAAAAATTCATCCACCCTAAAACCAGAAATCCAAATCATTGAAAAACGCGACAGCTCCCCATCCCCCTTCCTGAAAAAATCCAACAACAAGATCATCATCAACATACCCGCGCTGGACGACTTCCATGGTTGCAGCTGGCACACTCGCCTTGCAAAACGAGAGAAAAAGCGCGCGCGTTGCTGCTGCAGAAATGACTGGCAACTCGTCCTCCTTTGACCGTTTTGAATGTGGTAATGATGCTGAGCTTGCTGCACCTTTGGGCGCTTTCGTGACTGGATATGGTGCTCGGAATACCCTATTCCAAACAAACAAACAAAAAAAAGGCCGAAGATAGAAAGTTGGTTGAGCGCAGGGGAAACCCCAGTCCTTCGCTTTCAAAAGCAGACTCACGATTTCTGAGACGCTAGATCCGCTGCATCGTCGTTGTCGACAATTTCATCCACTCGCGCCCGCTCAGCCGCAGTCAGGCTGGACTCCTCCGACGACTCTCGGTTGTCGTCAACCTCGTCAGCATAGTCGTCATCTCCCCAATCGATGGCATATCCATTAGAAGCGCGAATAGGTCGACTTGGTAGTGCAGACAAGTCGAGGCTAGCGAAGGAGAGAGAGGAGGGAGAGAGAAGGTGTGAGCGCGATCGAAATGAAAGGAAAAATCGCACAAAGAATGAACACATGCAACATGTTCACTCACCTGGAAACAGACGAGGGTGTTGACGCCACAGAGCGCCGAGGTGAAATCACTGGCGTACGTTGGACGCTCGAGGGTGCAGCTAGAGCGTTCCTGGCGCTGCTTGGCAGAATGGATGCGTCCAGCGGAGTGTCCACTGCAAGAACGTCAACGGAATCGAAACGCAATGGTGAGATTGCATGATTCTACGCCTGTCAACGCACCACGACGTTCGATGAACACTGTACTGGATGCGAGGGCGCCTCGGAACATGGTGCGGGGAGTCGCGGCAACATCCGATCCAGCCGCCATCGCCGCCGCTTTTGCCGACCGCGCAGACATCGGAGCTGCAGCACTCGCCGTTGCTGTCGCGCGTGCCTTGGTGGCAGACGCCAGAATGGCCGTGTTTGCGGCGGATGGACCGAATGAATGTCGGTTTCGGTTGATGGTTGTGGAAGGCGGCGCGAGGTCTTCTGAGACGGCTCGAATCTGCCAAAACACACACACACAATATTGCAAATAGAATTAGTGGTTTGCTTTCTCAGACAGCAAACGAACGCTCATCATTCATATCCATATGAGGCAAAATGCCAAAAGTTTGGATTTTGGAGCGAATTTTGATTTTCCCGCCAAAAAAACCGCTCCAAACTCAACGCTTTTCTTTGGTTGGACGCTCGGCTGCCTGACTGTTGCCATCGCTATCAGCATGCCAGTCGACAAACACAGCAGCAACAACAGCGACTGACCAGGCCACGCGGCGAGTCGGCGGCGATGCGACGGGACCGCTTGCTGGCGCTCTCTGGACCGAGCGAAGTGCTCGCTTGGGACGCCGTCCGCCGGCGCGCTGTGGAGGCCGGTGTGGCTGCTGGGCGTGCAGACGACGACGGTGCTGCCGAGGACGAGGTTGCGGGCTGCTGCGGTGTGCGGGAGGACGACGACGACGACGACGACGAGGCTGGAGCGGGCGTTTGCGCTTCGAGCAGGATGCGGCGCATGAGTCTGCGCGGTGTCTCGGCCATGACTATGGTGGTGAAGAAGAATGAAATGTGGACTGACAAGGATAGAACAGAAAACGCATCGAAGAAGCGGAATGCCTCAAACATGGCTTGTATTGCGATAGGGACATTGATTGAAACACACGGATTGACCACACGATACGCAAAACAAGACAAGAAGGGGAGAGAGAGAGAGAGAGGCACAGAGGAGGAGGAAGGCTGAAATAGATTAGCGGAACAAGGCTTTTGGCTTTACTCGGAGAGAACGCCGCAGTCAGCAATGACAACAGCCTTGACGGGCTTGTCGCGACCGTCGGTCTGGGAGCCCTCGATGCGGGAGACGACATCCATGCCCTCGATGACCTTGCCAAAGACGACGTGGCGACCATCGAGCCAAGAAGTCTGCACGAGCGAGGAGCAAAAAACGAATGCCAACCAAAAAAAAAAAACGGTGAGAAAACGCGACAACAACAACAACCACCTCAATGCTATAAGCAGCTCAACAACGCCAACAAGAAAGGGGGAACTTACAACAACGGTGGTGATGAAGAACTGGGAGCCGTTGGTGTCGGGGCCAGCGTTGGCCATGGAGAGGAGACCGGGGGTGGTGTGCTTGAGCTGGAAGTTCTCGTCCTCAAAGCGATCGCCATAGATGGACTTGCCGCCAGTGCCGTCGCCGCGGGTGAAATCGCCACCCTGGATCATGAACTGCTTGATGACGCGGTGGAAGCCAGAGCCCTTGTAGCCAAAGCCCTTCTCGCCGGTGGCGAGCTCGACAAAGTTGCGGACAGTCTTAGGGACGACGCCGCCAAACATGCCAAAGACGACACGGCCTGCCTTCTGGCCGCCAATCTCAATGTCAAAGTAGACCTTCTGGGTGATCTTGGGCTCTGCAGCGCTGTCGCTGGGCGAAGCCATGCTGAACAGGACGATGACGGCGACGAGTGCCGATGCGCACAACAACAGCTTCTTGGCCATACTTGTTTGATACCACTGTGCAGGAACCAAGTGTTGAGGAGCAGACGGGAGGGGAGTTGAAGGCAAAAGTCAGTCAGAGTGAGGAAAGTCAAAAGTGATGGGGATTGAACGAGAGTTTATCATTGGACTGCGTTCGCGGTATGCATTGGTGTAGTGTTGCAAATGGCAAATGTCGCTGGGCTGTTCATAAGGTGGGGGAGGGGGGGGGGTTAGGGAATAGAGGAGAGAGAGAGAACGAGAAAGAGAGAGAGGGAAACAGAGCAGGGGGCGAACAAGGCGACAATGAATGAACGAGAATGACAGAACGCAGGGAATGGAGATCGACGACACGTGCAGATGGAACGAAAGACGGAGAGAAGGAGAAGGAGAAGGAGAAGGGGGGAAGAAACGAAAAGAAAAAAAAAAAAAAAAAAAAAGCAGAGATCGACGGGTTTGCTTCTTTGTTTGCCACGTCAATCGCACACATCGCACAGAGGGGGGGAAGAGGGTTTTGGGGGGGGGGGCAAAAGGAGAAGCACTCGAGTCATACGAGAGAGAGAGCGAGAGAGAGAGAGAGAGAGAGAGAGCGAGAGTGAGAGACAAGGACAAGGCGAGAGGAGCGAATGGTAAACAACAACCTTCTGCATTAAGAGTGCGCTGCATCAACATGGCAATGGAAATGGAAATGGAAATGGACAACCAACAAAAGATCCAACGATTGTGTAGATCTGTCCATGGAAAGGACGCGGAAACAGGAAAAAACATTAAAGTCAAGAATTGGACGCAGTGTGTTGATGAGGATGCTCATAGAAAATGCATTTAGTTACAAAATAGAGAGGGTGACACAGTCAAGTGCACGGTTTAGAAGGGAGGAAACGACGAAAAAAAAATAGTTAAATTCCTGGATAAATGTCGAATTTGAGATTCGGCGCGACGACGCAGCGTAAATGACGGCAAAACTGTTGACGAAGTCCATTAACTCGAGTGGCCTTGTTTCGCAAAGTCCGTGTGAATGCCGCAATGCCAGTTGGTCCACATTTTGTTGAGTGGCACAACGCGAAACAGAGAAGGGAACCAGTTGTTCGAGGCAGCAGGAAAGTCCTTGGTTCGCATGCCAGCTTCTGTACGTTCGTTCGTTGAACGGCACAACGCGAAACAGAGAAGGGAACCAGTTGTTCGAGGCAGCAGGAAAGTCCTTGGTTCGCATGCCAGCTTCTGTACGTTCGTTCGTTGAGCGGCACAACGCGAAACAGAGAAGGGAACCAGTTGTTCGAGGCAGCAGGAAAGTCCTTGGTTCGCATGCCAACTCCTTGATGTTCGTGGCATAACGCGAAATGGGAACGGAACAAGTACAATTACTCGTGAAAGTTGTCGCCTTTGAGTCTTTTAGGTCAATAAAGCACATCAAAGGCCGCAATCGTAGTACTCGACAAGACCAGGTGGCGCAGGATCCGCGCGAAGAATCCAGGCGCCGGAACGCAGAAGGGAAGTCCAGCCAACTCTGAAACCAAAGCATATCTAGCATATCTATCGAGCCAACAGAGGGAGCAACGAATGAGCAACAAAAAGACACAATTGAGAGGCAATGAAGAATGGTGTCTGAGTGAAAGATGAAGAAAAGAAATTGGGTGGGATCAACAAGAAAAGTTGACAATCACGCCGAGCTGCGGGCACTGTAGAAAAGAGGCGAATCTCGTCTGGGCTCCGTTCGCTCGTCAGTCGCAAATTACCATAGTAGAGAACTATCACTTCCCAAAGGGAGGAGGAGAGAGAAGAAAAGAGCTTCAAAAGGAAGGAACAAAGGAAGTGTTGGTGAATGATTCAAAACTTACGTTGTGATGGCGGATGTGACATCGCTTTCACTCCCTAAGAAACCAGAAGAAAGCAAAGAATAATTGTAGTCAGTACACATGGATGAGAGCAACAGTAAGAAGAAGCGCAAACGTGAAAAGGACAAAGTTGAGTGTGAATGAGACTCAGGGTTATTTTGGTAAGTGAAACAACGGTTCTCGTCAATGAATTAATTCAGAAGCAGAGCTGATAAGTTAGAGTTGTTCCTCATCGCCGCACGCACACACAGAAGGGAGGGGAGAAGGAATGGAAAAAGGGAAAACGTGAATGAATGCAAAGATCTTACAAGAGAGGCCACTTGGAAAGCGTGCAATTCCGCGATGTTAGTCCTAGAACGAGGCAAGCAACAGAGTGTCAATAAACGGTGAGTCAAATGGAAGAGTTGGCAGCGCAGAAGTGGGAAAGAGTCAACTGGAAACTGGAAATAAAACAAAGAGATCGCACAAAAATAAAAAATAAAAACCGCGTGGACGACCACGTTGTTTTCAACAAAAAAAAAAAAAAAAACAGAGACAGAAACAGAGCGAGAGGGAGAGACAGAGACAGAGAGTGCCATCATGACTTCTTAGAGGTTATATGGTTGTCGATGTGCATCATCGCCGTTGAGGCGGCTAAGTGTGGTGCACGACAGAGTTTTCTAATCCTTTGGCGAATTTTAGAAAAAAAAAATAGAAAAAAAAAAACATGCGCTTCAATGGATCAGAGCGAGCAGAGTGCAGCAGCGAGAACGTACCGGCAGTCACAGCACAGTCGACTTTGAAGGTCAGGTCCCAAACACTTGCGGCAACCAGGTTAGGCCCTTCCCTGGTTGCCGACTCGGGGGACGGCGGTCCCAGGAATTGACCCTCTTGCACTTGACAAAAGAAACCGGACTGACCTCCGTTCCATTTTGGGAATGGACATCAACAATGAAATCACAACAAGTCGGACGAGGAAAGGTGATCTTGGATTACATTACGAATGGAGCGACGCGGATCAGACCCACCAGATTGAGGAAAGCGTGGCAAATCCGACCTTCTCGGCAGATTGAGCATTGGAAACCAAAACAAGCTTGGCTCTCAACACCCTCCACGCGGTCGGACAAGGTCGCTACAAGACGCCATGTGCGTTGCTCTGGTTCGCTACAATATCGAAAAGCCAAAGCACGCTGATCGCCACCCCATGCATCACCGCGATCTAGCAGAAACCAAAATCGTTTTTTTTTTAATCGTACTCATAAAAACATCCATGCAACAACTCGAGACAAATAAACGCATCAACAACAAATAAAAGCAGACAGGAAGCAGCTTTTCAAAGACAGGGCGCAATTTCTTTTGTCCAGAGTCCGACGCCTGCGCCGAACGCGTGCGAGAACACAGGTCACGGCCAAAAAAGAAAGCACCCCAGTCCACAGAATCGATCGACAACAAAAACGAAAGAGAGAATGTAATCACAAAGGCAAGTTGGCAAAATCGTCCCAGCCCGAAAGTAGAAGGAGAAAAAAAAACCTCCTCGACAATCAGTGGTAGTAGAAGAGAGCCAGCGCTCTGCTCTCACCACACGAAAGCGGAGGGGTATGCCGAGTGTGTGCCGGCCGTTGGGAAGACCACAGCTTCCGCAAAACCGTCGACAAACATGGCGTCGGACACGGACGAGCCAGCAGAAGCTGGAGGGGACAAATGGGACGCTGGTGCGTGCTGCCATTGGAGCTTGCCCTGAAGTTGATGATGATGTTGTTGATGATGTTGCTGATGCTGTTGCTGATGCTGTTGCTGCTGTTGCTGCTGCTGCTGCTGCTGTTGCACCTGGTTGAGGAGACGGGCAGTCAGCTCGGAGGTGTTGGTGGGAGAGTACTGGGAGCGGGGAGTTGCCAATCCGAGAGACGAAGAGACAGACGAGACGGGCGAAATGTTGCCCTGCATGTGTTGGAGAGACAAGAAGGATGGGTTGCTTTGGGAAGCGACCTGCTGCTGCTGCTGCTGCTGCTGCTGCTGCTGCTGCTGCTGGAGCATTGCCTGCAACGAGTCGTGTTGCAAGTCTTGCGCCTGCTGCTGTTGGTGCAGCTGAGAAGAAGAGAAGGCAGAAAGGAGCGCTTGCTGCACGGAGGCCATGGTGTTCGTACCAGGGACTGGAGTAAAGGCAGACGGATCGAGAAGGCGGCGACGGAGAGCAAGAAGCCCAGCGTCGTCGCGGTCGTGTTGTTGCTCACTGCGAGGCGAGCGATCGTGGTGCAATTGTTGAGATGGAGGGCGCCGGCTGAGGGCGCTGGCATTTGGTCCAAGACGTCAAAGAGGAAATCGATAGAGTCGAGCGAGCCGCTAGCGGGCTGCGGTTGCTTCTGCGACAAAGCATCGAGCGCGTTGGAGGGCTTGGTGTTTTGCTCGTGGCCATACTTGACAACGGCGGCTGCGGCGGCTGCGGCGGCTGCGGCGGCTGCAGTAGCGGGAGCAGCAGCTTTGGCGGTAGGTTTGGCGGTGGCGGTGGTCGCGGTGGTCGCGGCGGTCGCGGTTGCAGACTTGGTCACACGACGTGCTGCGCCAGAAGGGTTGCGCGAGCGCTTGCGAGGGGCACGAGGCTGTGTGGGCACGGCGTCGAGAGGGCCAATGCACTTGAAGCGCCCAAGCGGCCCCGGATTCCAGTTTGGATGCTTGATCTTGGTGTGTTGGTGCAACGAGCCCTCGGAAGCATACAGGCGACCACAATCGACAAACAGACACATAAACTTGCGGTCGAGCTGAGCAAAGTTGCGGCGAACCCGCTTGGGCTTGAGCGTGCCGTCGCTGTTGAGCTTGTCGGAACCCGAGCTGTCGTCGGAATCGCTGTCAAAGGAAGAGCTGGGGCTGCTGGATGTGCCCGCATCTTTCGCTGCGGCGGTAGCTTTGCGCGGTTCATCGCGGTTGTCGGGCTTGGGAGCGGCTGTCCGAGCTTGCTTTGCGGGAGGCGCAGTGGCAGGCTTGGCATCCTCAGGCTGACTTGTGCTTGCGCTCGTGGTAGTACTGGTAGTTGTAGTAGTAGTTGTAGTAGTAGTACTAGGAGTAGAAGTCGGAGGAGAAATAGCAGGAGTAGTCGCCGGAAGCTTCTTGCGTCGCATCCCCAACGACATGCCAGGAGCGGACTTGGCGTCCAAACTGCTGCGCTGCAGCCGACGCGACAAGGTCGTCGACGACAAGACAGGTCCATTGAATGGCACCGTTGGAGCCGGGTTGGACTGTGCGGAGGCGCCAAAAAGATCTAGCTCAGCTGCAGCAGACCAGCTAATGGAGCCGGAAGTGGTCTGCTTGGGCAGGACGTCGTTCTTGACAGAAGAGGCAGCAACCTGGGGCAGAGGATTGGCGGCGGCGGGAAGAGACAGCTCGGCCTCCGACGAGGTGCGCTTGACCGAGATGCGCACCGAGGGCGACAAGACGGCTGAGGACGGCAGCGTCGAGGGGATGGTGGCAGTGGTCGTCGCGGTGGCATTGGCAGCAGCGGCGGCAGCGGAGGCAGCGGAGGCAATGGCGGCCATCTGGGCAACGTCGGCCTGCGCTTGGAGGAGACGCTCGGCAAGCGACGCGGATTGGCTCAGCGAGGTCTGCAGGCGCTCCCAGAGCTGGCGGCATTCGCCAAAGTAGTCGACCTCCATGCCAGCAGGGTGGTCGAAGGGCGGCGGGAAGGGGTGCGCAGCAGCAGACGCGGCAAAGGGGTCGTCCAATGCGACGAATGCTGGCATGACGACGCTTGCCGTGTCCAAGTTGGTGACCGCGGCCATTTGTTTCGAAGGCAAGAGAGGCAAGATGGGAGGGAGGGGGTGGGTGTTTTTCTTTTGTTCTTGAAGCAAAGCGACGCGAGTGTTGTGGTGCGGTTCGGTGCGCTTGTGGTGCGGTTGTGGTGAAGTGGTGAAGTGGGCGACGATGAGCAATCCCACAACAAAACAACAAAACAACAACAAAAATCGAAAAAAGTCGAAAAGAAAAAACCTGAATCACAAACAAATCAACAAACAACAAACAAACAATTGCAACGTGAGTGAATTAAATATTGCGCAAACAACAAAATGAGGGGGGAAAAAGAGACGTGTGATGACAGGAGAATGATGGGGACACGCGGTGGCGAATGACAAACAAGTAGAAAAAAGCAGGCCGAAAAAAAAAAAAAAAAAAAAAAAGGCATCAATGCGTGAGGAGAAAAAAAAAAAGCGAGAAGCGGGGAAAAAAAAAAAGAAAAGAAAAAAAGGCGCGCCTTGAGACGTTGCTGCATGGGCGCGGGTGATCTGTTTGCTGGTATCGAGGAGAGGGGAAGAGAAACGCGCACCCGCCCGAAAGACACACACACATCGAACGAGCGAAGGAGAGCATCAAAACAGCGCTGCATGGCAACAAACAGCCTGCTGCTGGCTTTTGATCATCTTTTTTTCTTTTTTATTTTCTTTTTTTTTGTGTGTTCTCGGCTTGCTTCGGCTTCTGTCGCTTCGAGTCTCCTGCACCGCTCGCGGCCCCCGCTGGCTGCCACTGCAACGCCACAGCACGCTGCCTTCCGTCTCTGCGAGGAGGATGTGGACAGGCTGCTGCAGAGGCGCACACAACGAAAAGACAAGCAGCCGTAACGTGTCATCGGGTTTTGCCTTTTGGCTTGCAGACTTTTTTTCGATTTTTTTTTTTCGAGTTTGTATGGATCTGCATTGCGCTTTTTTTTTTTTTTTTTTTTTTTGGTTCCGAGCTCCTCGCCTCTCTGCTCCTCGGATTCTCGCTCGCTTCACTCTTCACTCACATCTCTCTCACATAGTTGCACTCCTCACTTGTTCCATCACACGCAGTGTCGCACTGGCTCCCGGCCCCTTCCTCTCTCTGCTCTCTCGTTCGCTTTTTGCTTCCGTGTGGCACCCCACAGCCAGAAAAACCAGTTTATGATTTTTTTTTTTTTTGCGGCTTTTTTTTTCCTCATGTTCGCGTTACTTACGCTACGAAATGACTGAATATGAAACCCCCCGAATCCATAAATCTCCCCAATTGGCCACCAGGGTGAAATCGAAATCAGACAATGAAGGAGCAAAGTTCAACAAGGAGGACTGAGAATTTTCAACACGCTGGCGCCTGCTTTTGCGCTGAACGCAGCGCAACTCACCGCACTACAGTAAAATTTCAAACGCAGCGCAACTCACCGCACTACAGAAAAATTTCAAAGGTAGAGAAGGTATCAACAAAGTAAATTAAACGACTGTTGCAGGGAAGTGTGACGGGGCTTATCAGCACACTGCACACAACACAAAGCGCTGCGCACAAACTCAACCTAAACCTGAACGAAACAAACAACTGGTGCATGTATTGTTGCGAACAAAACAAAACTCAGCTTTCACTCAATAGCTTGATCAGCAAGAACGTGTGAATCGAGGACCAACACAGCACAGACGCATGGAGCACCAGACCGGAAACTCGTGCTTCACTCCGAAGGCGCTACGGCAATGGTGGCGTAAGCCGTCGGAGACCGGGCAGGCGCGGTGGAAGACGACGCTGCGGTGGATGCTTCGGCATAAACGACGTCGTTCGCGGGCGCAACATCACTGTAAATGCGTGCTTGAGGTGTCACATCGTCGTACGTCGGATTGACGACAGATGCAATGCTCTCGTAGGTGGCAGTCGTACCCGTCGCAGTCGAATGCTTGGGTTGCTGGTGCTTGGCTGAGACCACGCTACTCTGGTCGCTCGAGCGTCTGGAGCGACGACGCAAAACGATGATTGCAATCAGAAGCGCAACAAGGAACGCCGCTCCAACCGCGACACCGACTGCAATGCCGAGAGTACTGTCGGATGAGCTGGAGGAGCCAGGATTGGCGCTGGCGGCCGATGCAGCCGAAGCAGAAGCAGTTGATGCGGCGGATGCGACCGATGCTGAACTGGCAGCAGCCACGGAGGCAGCCGATGTAGCAGACGCAAACCTGGCGACAGACATGGACGCTGCCGAGGTCACGCTCGCTGCAGATGCTTCACTGGCTGATTCAACAGACATGAGACTCTCAACGGACACGGACGCCGCCGAGGTCACGCTCGCGACAGATGCTTCGCTGGCTGAGGCAACAGACACAGTACTAGCAGCGAACTCGGATGCTGCTGAGGTCACGCTCGCGGCAGACACGGCATCAGCCGAGGCTGCAGACACGGACGCTGCCGAGGTAACGCTTGCCGCAGATTGGGAGGCTGCAGAAAACACCGAGAGCACGCTGACAGAAGCAGATGTTGCGGATGCAGCCGAGGCAGCGGAAGCAACGGTTGCATTTGTCGGTCCGCTTCCAACGCAAATGCTTCCTGACGCCACATAGCCATCATAACAAGTCAAGCAACGGTCGGCACTGCTGCAGCTCAAGCAATTCTGGTTGCAGCAACTCGAAGGTCCGGCATTGAAGCAGGTGGCACAAGCAGTATGGCATTCTGGGAATATACATGTCGATTAGCAAAGCAGCAACAAAAACAATGTCATAAAACCGGAACACATTACACCTACGCATGATCGTTCCTACAAAGTTATAGGTACTTGGAGGGGTGCCCGACCAAGGATTCCCAGTCAGAGCAGCTGAGAAAATGCCTGTCCCTTTAAATAGGCCAGGGGGAAGCGTGGTCAATTGGTTGTACTTGAGGTCTCTGAGAGCGAACATCACAGCCCGACATGAGAGGATGGGACTGAGTGCTTGCTTGCTAACAGCTTCAAGGACTCTGCTCCCTCCGACTTACAGCAATGTAAGGGTAGTAAGACCTTGAAATGCATTCGCAGGAATGGAAGACAGTTGGTTGGTTTGCAAGTCTCTGTTTCGCGCGAAAATTAATGTGATTCGTAAGCGTTGAGGACACATGTGTCCTTTTAGAGGTTGAATCGGGCTCGAGCTACATACATGTTGGAGATCATCGGCAGCCCGACAAACAGACTCTGCGGAAAGGTTGTTATCGACGTTCGGAAGTTGCTGTCAACAACGCGAGATCAAAATTTAATGGTGTGAGTTGCAAAAGCCGCGGGAACGGGTCGCAGCCTCTCCCTGCCGACAAACCGTACACGAGTGAAAGCTTGCTCAAGCCTTGGAACAAATCGCCTGGAACAGCCACCACATCTGAACTAGCGAGGGAACTGTCGGGGCCAAAAACGAACAAAAGAAAACCAACAAAAAAAAATCAACAATAAACCAGACTTGACCAACCACATCGCGTCCGAACATTGTAAAAATACGTACAATGACTGAAGCGTCGGTAGATCTTGAAGCAGATTCGAAGGAACTGTGGTGGGGAGGGCATTGACCAACCTGATCCACAAAGCGGTCAGCGAATGCTTTGCGTGATATGGTAAGTGGTAGAGCGTACTTTGTATGTTGTCTTACAAGGAGGTCAGCGACGTAAGGCCGGAAAAGAATGGTGTGGAAAACGGACTCAGGCTGGAAAAACCAAGCTGCCTGGAGCATGCCCAAAAAAAAAAACCAAACACCCGTGAAAATGAGCATACTACCAACGCTGGCGTGATCCGAACATCTCGGTGAACATTTACAAGGACGTGAGCTGTGCCACAGGAGTGAATGTCCCAACGGGAATCGTGCTTAGGGCATCGAGAACTCTGCAAAAATTGTCTCCAGTGAGCAAAAAACAAAAAACAAAAAAAAAAATACCACTTGCAGAATACAGGGTCAAGGACAGTCTGGAACGCTCGATCACACTCACAGCATCTTTAGGCTTCCCAAACCGGCAAACGAGTTGACATCCAACGCCGTCACAGGGTTGCTGTACAAATTGCTGCGAACGAGTGAAGTTGCACGGTGAACGCGAATGTGTTCTACATGCATTTCATGGCTGCTCTCCGCTTACAGACTTGTCAGGGCAGTTAGCGAGCTAAACACTCCAGCTTGCAGTCGTGTCAGATCGTTTCCAAGGAGCGTCCTGTGTGTGTGAAGCAGGGTGAGTGTTGTTGCTGGAGACTTTTTTTTTTTTTGGTTCTGTTTTTGCGTTTCCGTACATTGTCTTGAGAGCAGGAAGACTGGGGAAATCGCCAGGATTAATGTCAGCAATGTCATTTGACGAGAGATCGCTGCCAGGACCAACACAAGAAGAAGGGTGTGGAGGAGAGTTGAGTGTTGGTTGTTATTGTTTGAAGTTTGTTTCCAAATTGTTCGCCCTTCCTTACATGGCGACCGCGTTGGTCGGGATGCCCGTCGGGATGCTCGTCAGACCACGAGACTTGCAGTCAATGCTTGTGGTTGTGCAGTTGCACACAGAACAAGCGTCAATGGCGACGGCGCTTTTTGGCGACAGCAAACCCACGAGAACGAGCAGTGGCAGGACGATGACGGCTGTGTCTCTTCCAGAGCGCCCCATTCCTGATGCGACCTGTTTGTGTTGAGTGTTGTGTTTGTTCCACAGAGTGTGAGTGAATGTGGTGTGTGTCGCGTACAAGCAGCAGCGTGAGTGACACGACTTTATTGACCCGCACACATGTGGCGCAACAAGATCCTGTTTTTGTTTTTTTTGTTTTTTTTGTTTTTTGTTTTTTGTTTTTTGACCGTTTCGCTGGCTCACTCGCGCCTTCCCTCCACCCCCGCAGCAGCCACCCATCCACGAGCTGCCAGCACTGAGGATGCGCATGGCGTTGTCGCTTTGTGGGGATGCAGAGTGGGGCGTGGCTGTGGCAGAGTGGCGCGATGGGGCGGGGGAATCTGTTCCGCCGGCTGAAACTGGTCGCTACTGGCTTCCGGGACAACGCCCCCTTCTTCTCCCCTTCGCCCTTGTCCTCCCCGCATTGCCCAAATCGCCCACCCCGGCCGCCTTGAGCTCGTTCTGCAACAACCCGTCTGCACTCTGCTGGCGTCAACCATGTCGACCTTGGGACTGAAAGTCACGCGAACGAGGCGCTCGATGGGAAAATGACCAAAACGAAAAAAAAGAAAACCACAAAAAAAAAAAAAAAAAAACTTGGCAACAAAATCGACCAAAACAAACATCAAGCAAAACGCACAAGAAACGAACAAAAAAAAAAAAAAAAAAGACTGTCGCGAAGGTAAGGACGAGAAAGGCAAGCAAGACTGACGTGAGAAACTGGAGGCAGAAACGCCACAAGCTGAAAGGCAAGATGAAGAGACGGACAAACACCATGGAAGTGGAGTGTGCGCAGAGGGGGGACAAGCTGTTGGTTTCGCTGCTGGTGCTCGAGAGGCCAGATTGGACAGAGATACGACGCTTGTGAGCTATGGACAATGTCGAGTAGTCTTGTTGTCGTTCAATCGTCGTTTCATCCGGTTGCCGGACTCATTCTGGCGGGGGCAGAAGGGCGAAAGTGAAACTAACGTTGGAATTGGCGCTGAGCACTTTTCGAGCACCTCGTGCAACGTAAATCACGGACTTTCAGCTGTCCAGAGCATATATTATTATTGTAAATATCATTGCCATCGATATTGAAAGTAGTGGCGGTGTCGGAAGTGGAACAAACTCTGTCAAAGGTGTTGACAAGCGAATGCAAGCGGCAAGAAGCATCGTCAAATCCACTTCCAGACACCGCATCACGTTCTTGCATTCTTGACAAAGTCTCAAATGTCTTTATTTGATGCATTGGTGGCTAGCTCGGACAACACGCAAAATTGAAGCTTGTGACGCTCTGCCAGGCAATGCCCAACTTGTCCGTGTCGTTCAAAATTTTGTAAACTTTTTCGCCCAAACTCTGACTTTGGTCAATTCCTCCAGTAAGATCGACTTGCCGGAGTGTGTATTCAATTGTATCCAAGCGGCAGCGGTAGCACGGTCAGAGGAAACGATCCGAGTGGATTTCGATGCCGGGATGGAGGATTTTTGTTTTGAATCGACGTTCTTACCGGTTTACAGCTCTAGCTCAAGTAGATGTGAGCAGAAATCTTCCATTACTAGTAGTCGGATTGAGCGTAGTCACTTCATTACACACATAGGTGGCGACGACATACAAAATACAAACAGCAACGCCGTCGAATCGACCATCGAATCCGCTTTCCCCCCTCCCTCTCGCCAACCTTGGCCACAGGCATCACCAACAAAAATCACAAAGGCGGCGGCGCATTTGCAAGCAATTGAGGGGTCATTTGTCGGATGGTGTGACAAAACGAATGCAGCGGAAACCCGACAACATTGTAGTAGCAGCCGTCGATTCCCGCAATCAGAGATCCAGCCAATCCCTGGTAGCCATAGCCACCCGCTTTATCCATTGGCTCGCCAGTTTGTACGTAGGCACGAATGAGGTCGTCCGGGAGGTCGGCGAAGCGAACTATTGTTGTCTCGTGCAATTTCACAACACTTGGCGTGCAGTTGGTCGCTGTTGGGGGAATGATGACGACTCCTATGTATTGGAGAGCAAGTAAGGTGAGGGTGAACCGAGTCTGCATGGCACCAATTGGAGGCAGGGGGAGGCAGGGGGAGTGTGTGAACCGTGCCAAGTTTCGTTGTTGCCCTTACCGGTGTGGACTTGACTGGTCCTGCCACTGAGCTGCTTGATCATCTGAAACGCGGCCTCGGCATGTGCTGGCTTTTCCATAATCAATCCATTGCTCTCCTGCATTGTTTTCAAAACCAAGCAAGTTCCAGTTTTGCAGGTTGAGTTTTGCAGTTGGAAACGATTGGACCTTTTCCACCCGTACTCTTTTTCTGAGACATTGCTGAGCATTATTGTTCCCCTTTCTTACCACAATCGTGTCTGCACTGACGATAATCTCGCTTTGCAGCCGGCTCGCCTTGTCACGATCGCCTTGTGCGCTGCGCTGTCGCTGGGCTTGGACGTCCAACGCCTTCTGCTCGGCCGTGTCCAGGGCGTAGCGCCACAGCTCGCCTGCCGCATAGACGCTCTTGTCCAAGTTCTCTGCGAACGTTGACGGCGCGATCAGCACGCGAATGCCCTGCCCAAAGCGTCCGCAACGTACAACGTGCACAACAAAGTCAAACAGTCGTCGATCAACGCTCACTCGAACAGCAACAGCAGTTGGCACATTTTCACTTCAATGCAGAATCAAGTCATCGGCAGGAGCGTTTACAATGGAGTTGAGAATGTCGCGTCGGCGTGGAGATGAGCTTGCCAGCACAAACTCAAATCGCTCGAGCTTTGTGAGCAGGTCCAGCAGCATGGATTGATGGAGATACAAGAGTGAAAGCATGGCAGAGCCTGAAATTGGACATGTATTCTCGACAATCGCTTTTGACACAAAGCAGCAGAGTTTGTGAAACTCAAGCTCAACGACACCACCGAGTGAATGCAAGCGCTCTCCCTTCCAATCGTACAATCCCAATGAATGATGACATTCAAAACACAAACCAAGGAGATCGAATCGAATGATTGAGAAAAGACAGAAGAGAAAGAGAGAGAAAGGAAAGAGAAAAGGTTTGGGTCGTTTCAATCAGAGAAAGGAGGGGGAAAAAGAAAGGGACGGCGGCGCGAACGCACACCATCCCCATCTAACAGAAATTATACTGTCGAATCACCACTAAGGCAATTCGCCGATCGCCGCCTGTCCGCGCCGGTTGGTGCAATGGGCAGACAGTGGCTCTCGGGGAGGACCGCCCGCTTGACCACGGTGCCTCCCCAGTAAGGTAAGTATGCCGAGTATCTTGTAGGGCTTCGGGCACAGGCACACGCACATACACAATCCCACTCCATAGGCGGCGAGTTGGACTGGGTCGGGTTCACGAACGTTGGCTGTGCCATTCCTGAAAATGCGCACCCAGAATTTTGGGTTGCGTTTTCGAGGGGCGATTTGGATTGTCCGAGCAAACGACGTCTTCCACGACTGCGATCCATGCTCATCTTGAGCTACAGGTGACATTACACACACACAGCTGGTATGGCAGTGATGCGAGTGTGTGATGCGGCGCAGGGGGGAAGAAGGCAATGCGATCACAACGTCGTTTTGTCTCTCCAAAGCGCTTCAACGGTCTCTGATCTCTTCTTGGCCTTGTGTTTGCTCGTTTATTCATGATGTTGTCATTGTATCGCTGGTCATGTGGTTTTCGTAGCGATTGTCCACGTCAGTCTTAAAACCCGAGAGCAGTAGTAAAAGCAGCCATTTTTTTAACTGTTTTTTGTCCTCTTCTTCTTCTTCGTCTTCTATCACTCCTGTCACTCCTGCCACTCCTGTCACTCGTCGTCTCCATCTTGCTTGCATGCCAAGCGCAGAGACAGCCGCAGAGACAGGCACTTCTTTCGCTTTCATCCGTTGATCCACTCGGATTGGGAGTGATGACAGCGTTTCTGGAACTCGTTCTCGTTCACTGCGGCTCTGCTTGTCCATGGGTCTGTCGCACCCACACCCACACTCTACACATTTGTCAGACGCACACACGAACGCACACGCATCGCTCGCCACAGCGCGAGTCAGACGCAGCAGCACGGAGGCAGCACAGACGAACGAACGCTTTGACTGTGTTCCAAAGCTTGTCGTGCTATCATCCGCGTTCCTCCCCCATCGTCGTCGTCGCTGCTGCCTGCCTTCAACAAAGAACGACTCGAAAGCCAATCCTTATTGACAAAACCCCCAAAACTGCAAATCGGTCGACCAACAGCGAAGTGCATTTTGTACAATCTTACTCTTTGTCGGCCTCCCTCTTCGCCTTTCCCTCCTTCCGTCGCTTGCTTGCTTCTTACTGTGCTCGTTGGTCATGCTTGTCCCTCACCTCGCCTTCGTTTGCTTTGATTGGTGGACGGCCTGGCCTGTCGCAGATTTACCGCGCAATTCCTCTCGTCTCGTCTCGATGCTGAGAATCACAGTCACCACGGAATCGGAGCACACCTACTTTTTGGAGGTTGCAGACGACATGGAGGTTTGTCGTCAACCATGTTGCGCCGTGTGATTGCTGACGATTGCCCCAGAACTCACTGCCATTTGACTGGGTTTGATCCAATCCAGTTGCAAGACTTTCAGGCGCTCGTCGAGGCTGAGAGTGGCGTTCCCATGGCTGAACAACGCTTGATTCACAACGGCAAGGCACTCGCAGGCGCAAACAAGGCCCTCGGTGCGCTTGGCGTTGGAGTGGACGACGTAATTCTCTTGGCTCGTCGGTAAAGTGTCTTCCCCTCGAATGATTCGCCGCGCGCCAACCCCATTCCCTGCTCACTCCCCCCTTTCGTGCACCATTACAGAACTCAACAGAGTCAACAGCGAACCGCCGCAGCTCCCAGACAACAGACCCACGCTGCGTCGTCTGGCAACAGCAACGACCCCAACGATCCAATGGTGCTGAGGCAGACCATCCAGAACGACCCAGCCTTGCTTGCGCGCATTCGACATGTGAGTTTGACTGCCGCTGCTCTCGTATGTTCAACCTTCACCGCTGACACGGTCGTGCGTCACTTGTGCGTCACTTTTTCTCAGAACGACCCCGAGCTTGCGGACGCGGCAATGGAGCTCAACCCCGCCAGATTCGTCGGGCTGATTCGCACACGCCATGCCGAGCAGCGCGAGCGTCAGCGACAAGAAATGGCGCTGCTCACCTCCGACCCCTTTGACGTTGAGGCCCAGCGCAAGATCGAGGCTGCCATCGAGGCCCAGAACATTGCCGCCAACCTCGAGTCGGCCATGGAGTACAACCCGGAGGCCTTTGGCACCGTGGTCATGCTCTACGTCGATGTCTTTGTCAACAAGGTCCCCGTGAAGGCGTTTGTCGATTCTGGCGCTCAAATGACCATCATGAGCGACACTTGCGCCACGCGATGCGGCATCATGCGATTGGTCGACAAGCGCTTTGCTGGTATTGCCCGAGGTGTCGGCCATGCCAAAATTCACGGCCGTGTTCACTCGGCTGAGGTAAAGCTTCCATTTGGGGGACGTTGGATTCGTTTTGAGATGTTTCATTCAGTCGTTGCTTTTGCTCACTTTTTTGCCTTGTTTTCTTTTCCCTTTTCTCCCGTCGGATGGCAGGTTCAAATCGGCACCAACTTTCTGCCATGTTCCTTCTCCGTGATGGAAAACCAGCCAATGGACATGCTGATTGGCCTTGATTTTCTCAAACGGTTTCAGGTTGGGCTGGTCTTTGTGTGCGCGCGTGTGGTGCCGAGCATGAAAACCACTCACTCTCATCTCTGTTCTGTGATCTGGTTTGCAGTGTGTCATCGACCTTCGACGGAACGTTTTGGTGATTGGCACCACGGAATCCGAGACCCCGTTCTTGGCCGAGAAGGACCTGCCGCTTTCCGCCCGCCCCGGTGGCGGTGAACTAACAGAGGAAGAGCGTGCTTTGCTCAACAAACCGTCCGCCACCACCTCCTCGAGCTCAGGTGTGTTGTTATTTCCTGTTTTGTAGTGGTGGTCGACTGCAAAGAAATGCGTCATCTCGCAAGCTTCTAACATTGTCCTCGCTTGCTTTCTTGGACCTGCTTAGCAACCACGCCAGCCAGATCGACAACTTCCACGCCCGTGGAGGTCCCTCCGCCAGTCTCCACACCCAGCTCCACGCCAATCAGCCGCGAAGCGTCTCAAACTCGTGCGCCCCTGGCGTCCCAGCAACTCCCAAACTTTTCCAATTTCATGGGCCAACCTGCAGCAACAGCTGGTTTCCCTCAACAGCAACAACAACAACAGCAACAACAACAACAACAGCAGCAGCAACAGCAGCCACCGCCGGTCCAACTCAGGCAATCTGATATTGATGCGCTTACTGGGCTGGGATTTTCGGCCGAACAAGCACGCACTGCTCTTCAGAATGCTGGAGGCAATGTTGACATAGCTGCCAGCTATCTTTTCGCCATGACCGAGTATTGAACACTGTGTTCTTTTGTTATCGCGACCAAATACAACGATGGAAATCAATATGATTATACTACAAAAGGATGTGTGTGTGTGTGTGTGTGTGTGTGTGTGTGTGTGTGTGTGTGTGTGTGTGTGTGTGTGTGATTTGGTGGCACCAGAAAGCAAAAAAATAGAGCGAGAAACCTGGTCCTTGGCGTTATTCATCCATTCGAGGCTTCTTGCGCTGAGCATCGTCTGACTCTGCGGGGCGCTTCTCACTGGGGAGAGGAGTCGAGGAGGTCGATTGCGCGGGGGTCTGCAATATCGAGAAGAAGCATTGGTGAGTATGAAAGTGTCCAACACCGAACAAAACCAGAAACACCAGTCAAAGCTCCACAAAAAAAAAAAAAAAAAAAAATCAAAAAAAAAATCACATACCTTGTTTGCGAGTCGTTTATAGATCGCACTCACGTGATCGCCGTTCGCCGATGGGTGTTTTCGAGCAACTTCATTCCATACACGACTGCATCAAATGATTTTTTTTCCGTCCAAAAGCAAAAAACAAAAAAAAAAAAAACAATAAAAAAGTGAGTTTGAGTTTTGCTGACATTTGCACCGCCCTCCAACTCCTCCAGCAAACAGTTTGCACTCACCTTTGCATGTCTGCGGGGAGCGTGTCAACAAAGCGACCGACGCGAAGAAGGTGCTCCTTGGTCTCGAGGCTGACGCGCTCCTTGCTCCAATTTTCGTGCGCGGCCTTTTGTCGCAAGTCCAAAAAGTTGGCAACGTCGTGTTTGATGGGTACCAGCAGTTGCTGCGCTTCCGCATCACCACGCGAATGGTGGTGCTCATCGTGGTGGTGGTGGTGGTGATGGTGGTGGTGGTGGTGATCCGATTCCTTGTCCTTGTGCTTGTCGGGCGTGCGGTGGGACTTGCTCGAGTCGTCAGCGTCGTTTACCGCTGACGTGCTGGCAGCGTTAGAGGCAGCGAGTTTGCTAGCCTTGTCGTACATGCGGAAGATGGGACTGTCCTTCTTGTCCGAGCTCTTCCCCTCTGCCGACTTTTCGGTCTTGACGACGGACTTTGGCTTTTTCTCGGCTGCCTCGGCAGCAGCAGCAGCATCAGGGCGAGACGCAGTCGACGAGCTGTTGTCGTCGCGCAGGGTGGCCAGCAACGAGGAGAGCATCTCTTGCGGGACGACAAACTTGGCTTCGCCACCTTCCCGTTCCTTGCGCTCTTTGCGCTCCTTTGGGGCTCGTTCCTTCTTCTCCTTCTCCTTGTCCTTCTCAGAGCGGTCTGGCTTTTGAGCCTTCTCCTTCTCAGGGCGCTCTTTGAATTTGAATCCAGCAGCCATGGCGACAATCTGCTGCGCATTGGCTTTGGCGGCGGGCTCCACAGAGGCCAGGCGCGAAGCAACCTCGGCCTCGCTCATCGGGGTCGTCACAACAGGCGCACGGCGGCTCTTGGAATGGACTGGCTCGCCGTTGGAGCCGGCGGCCTTGCTTGTGTACGTGCGCAAGCCACGACCCTGGGCGTCAAACCGCAGCACCTTCAGCAGATACTCGACGCGGCGCAAGAGGTGAGACGCTTGCGGAAGGGCATTGTTGGCTGGGAGAATCTTGCCAGCAAACTTGAGCGCCGGGTCGTCGAGCATCTGCTCCCAGCTGCCAATGCCGTACTTGTGGCATCCGACGAGCAGACGAGCATCGTCGGAGGCGTCCCAGCCGGCGGGCCACTTGACAACCATGACCTTGCAGGGGAGGGTGAACTTGCCCTGCGCATCGAGGGAGGTGCCCAGCAATTTCGACACCAACTGCATGTCGCTGTTGCGCTCGACCAACTCGATCGCCAGCACTCGGTTGCCCTGGACTGCAATGGCCGGGTTTTTCTTCTTGTGTGCCTGAGATTCGGCAGTGATGGCAGCAATCTGCACTTGGATGTCGGCGTTGTGCGAGCCGAGCTCGTCCATGGCTTCGAGAGCGCCCTGCTTTTCGAGCTTTTTGATGGCGCTGTCAAAGCCTTTGGACGTTGCTTCCCACTCGTCCACCGCAGCTTGGGCGGCCTTAAGGACCACCGACACGACACCAGCAACGGTGGCCTCGTCGTGAGCCTCGGCCAGACCAGAATCAGCGTACATGACGGACATTCGTGCTGGCAGGTCGCCAAAGCGCTTCCAGGAGCGCAGCAAGCTTCGAACCTCAGCAGGCGTCAACGGACTGGCGTCAGCCACAGGCAAGCCCTCCAATTCAAGGCTGCGCGCGCCTCGAGAGGCGCCTGCACCTCCAGCGCCACGACGGCGGCTGGGCCCCTCCTCATCCGAGCTGCCGCCCGAGGATGCCGACGAATCGCCCTTGCCGCGGTGCGGTCGCCGCGCGGCAACAAACGCAGTGTCGTTGTACGAGCGGTTGTCCGTCCTGCCGCGGCGTGGCGGCAGAAACAGGGCCATCTGCTTTTCTTGCTCTTCCTCCTGCTGCATGCGCTCGCGCTCCGACATGGGAATAATGTCATCCCAGGAAGCATCGTTCGCGCCATCGCTGCTGCCGGTGGCAAAGTTGGCCACCTTGAACTGCGACATCAAGCCGTTTGCAGCGGCATCGCCGTCCTCGTCCTGCGTTTCACGCGTTTCTGCACGCGCGAGGATTTCGTCAATGTCGAGTTCGGCGAGTTTACTGTCTTGGTCTTGCTGATCCTTGAACAGCTCTTCCGCACCAAACTTGAGAATCGAGGCCAGCTCGTCCTTGCTGAAAGGGGTCGATCCGGTCGCTTTGCCAGCCGCGGCTGCGTTGGGTCCAGCGCTGCCTTCCGCCTCCGCGCTCTCCTCCTCGCCATCGTCGATTTCGTCCTCGTCGCCGCTTTCGATTGATTTTCGGTTCTACACGACAGCAAAGTTACCAACAAGGGGGGGGGGAAACAACAACACCCGCACAGTAAGAACGAGAAACGCGACAACAACACCAAACAAACAACAATCAGTGCCCAGATGTACCTTGTTGTGAACACGCGCATTCTTCTTGCTCGACGGCTTCTTGGGAGACGCAGAGCCGAGCACCGCACGTCCAGTCGTGTCCATGCGCTGGATGACGACGTGGTCCAGAATCATCTTCTTTTTGGCGCGCTCGAGGATGTCCTCCTCGACCGAGTTTTTCGTAATGATGCGGTAAATGTTAACAACGTTCTTTTGGCCAATGCGGTGCGCACGGGCCTCGGCCTGCAAGTCGTTTTGAGGATTCCAGTCCGAGTCAAAGATGATGACCGTGTCCGCGGTGGCCAAGTTGATGCCCAGGCCGCCGGCGCGGGTGGACAACAGGAAGGCAAAGTCTGTCGAGCCCTCCGCGTTAAAGTGATCGAGGGACTGCTTTCGCAAGTCGCCACGAACGTTGCCGTCCAGGCGCTGGAAGCCAAAGCCGCGGCGTTGCATGTACTCTGCGAGAATGTCGAGCATGCGGACCATTTGCGAAAAGATGAGCACGCGGTGACCAGTCTCACGCAGCCGCACAAGGAGCTTGTCCAGCAAGACCATTTTGCCGCTTTGCTTGACAAGGCGAGCGAGTCGGTCGTCCGTTTGGCCACCGAGGGTCAACTGTCCGCCGGCCGCCGCTGCTCCGCTGCTCTCATTGGTCGCGCCTGACGCGAGAGGTGCAGTCTCCATCGGCTGCTGGGCCGAGTTGGTCGTCTCGTCAGAGGGGGCTGGAGCCGGAGCGGCGAGTGCAGGACCCAGGTTGGCCAGTTCTTGCGGCGCCTCCTCGTCAGGCTTGATGAGGTTGGGGTGGTTGCAGCACTTTTTGAGCTCAATCATAATGTTGATAAAGCCACCGGCGTTGCCGCGTCGGCCCTTGCGCAGCATGGTGTAGTTTTTGGTGAGAATCCACTTGTAGTACTGTTTCTGCAGACTCGACATGTCGACACGAAGAATGCGCTCCACCTTGGCTGGCAGCGACTTTTCGACATCCTTCTTGACACGTCGTAGCAAGAAGGGCTGCAGCAAGGCGTGCAGCTTGTTGATATTGGACTCGAGATTCGAGTACTGCTCGATAAAGTCGTCGCACGACGTGAAGCGGTCCGGTGTCAAGAAGTGCAGCAGCGCCCACAGCTCTCGCAAATCGTTCTGCAGCGGCGTGCCGGTGACGAGCAGGCGATGGTTGGTGTGGAAGCCAGCGAGGGCTTGGTGCAGACGCGACGACACATTCTTGAGACGGTGCGCCTCGTCCACCATGAGGTTGGTCCATTTGAACCGCGCAAGGTACGCCTCATCGGACAGCACTGTCTCGTAGGTGGTAATCATGACATTAAACTTGGGGCGCTTGCCGGTCGAGTCCAACAGCTCATAGTCGCGGATGATTTTGCGGCTGGCGGCGTTGCCAATGTAGACAATCACGTTGAGGGAAGGGAGCCACCGCTCAAACTCGCGTTGCCATGCAGCAATGGTCGAAAGCGGCACAACCACCAAATGCGGGCCATACACGTGGAAGACGTGGCACAAGTAGCCAACAAAAGACAGCGTTTGGATGGTCTTGCCCAGACCCATCTCGTCAGCCAGAATGACCGACTGTTGTTTGCACCAGGACGAGACAAGCCAATTCAAACCGAGCAGCTGGTAGTCGCGCAGCACCAGCTCGCTGCCTTCCTTGTCCCGCACGGGCTCGGCACCATCAGCAACAGCATTCTCATCCGCTGCGGGCTCCAATTCCGTCGACACGTCGGCGGGCTGCTCCGTCTCAGTCTTTGAGGCCGCCCGCGGGGTTTCGGAGGTCTCTACTGGACGACCAAGGAAGGCAGGCTGCACCTTAATCTCCTTAAAGCCAGGGCGTTGGACCAAGGCGCGAGCGCGCGGGTCGGGCAGCATCTTGGACTGCTCTCGCTTTTCAAAAGCCTCAACCTTCTCTGGATGGCGCGCAGCAACAAGCTTTGCGTCATCCCAGGTGCAGTCAGAGTAGAGCAGTCCCTCCCATTTGCAGAGATACTGGACGCCTGTCGTCGACGACGCCTCGTCGTCGTCCTCCTCCATCGCATCATCGGATGAACGGCTCGACACGATGCGCTCCACCAAAACATGTTGTCGCGACAAGTCCATGTACATGTCCACCTGGCAGGCGTCGTGCTCAACGTCTTCAGGCGACGCGTCCGCCAGCCAAGCGGCCCGCTCGTTCTCCGTCTTGATGTAGTTGGCCAGCTTTTTGAGACCTTTGACGCCTCGTTCTTGCAACGAAGCTTCCGTCTCCCAAGAGTTGTGCCAGTGCGACTGTTGCTCCCACTTGACGAGAAACTCGCAATCGGGCGACTCAATGTCGTTGACGCGGTAAACAAAGTCGAGCGGGAGGCCCAGAAACAGCCCGTCCGCACGCTCGTCGGGCAGTGTGGGCTGCGAGGAACGAACTCGGTGGATGATGACACGATCAATGTTGGACCGGTCGGCCGCAGCCTCCTCTTCCACATCGTCGTCCTCGGCCTCGTCCGCGTCCTCCACGTCCACGTCTTCGCCGTCTGACTTTTTGGAGGCGCCTCCTCGTCGGGTGGTCTTGGGGCCAACAATGTCGTCTTCGTCCGTCTCAGACTCGGAAGCCTCGCGGTAGGACTTGACGTTCGAGTTGGCGCGAGTCGAGCCGACGCGAAAGTTGCGCATGTCCTGAGCCACAACATCATTGTCGTCGTCATCGTCGTCCTCCGAGTTGAGCGCTGCTCGCCGTGCGCGGGCTGACGGTTTGACAAAAGAGGTCGCGGTCGAGGCCCCACCGCGTCGCTGCTGGCGTTTCCGGTGCGATCGCTTGCCGCGGTTGTCAAAGTCATCGTCGTCCGAGCCGTCGTCGCTGTCATCTGCGCCTCGTCGACCATTCCTGTGGCGCCCTGCATCGTCGGACTCCTCTTCAGAGGTTTCTGTGGGCGTGACGGGCTCTTCCACCATCACCTTGCGGACGACAGCCCTGCCCGAACTCGTGTAGCTGGTCGTTTCGCGCTCCACCATGCGTGTCTTGGGCTTGCGAGACTTTTTCCGCTTGGAGGTGCTCCCTTTGTGTCGCTTGGTTGTTGAGGATGATTTCGAAGCGTGCTTGCGTTTGTTGCGGCGCTCATCCGAGTCGTACTCTTCGTCGTCGTCGTCGTCGTCCGCTGACTCTGATTCCTCCTCGTCCTCGTCATGCTTGTACTTGCCGTCGTCCGAGTCATCATCATCGTCGTTGTCTTCATCACCTTCAATGTCTGCCTCGTCATCGACCATGGCGTCGTTGTTGTCGTCGTCGTCGTCGGCTGGTTTCTTGGATTGTGCCGCAACTGGGCGATGCAGGCCTCCGCCATACGTGGCAGCGAGATGCGCAGCCGCAGCCGCCGCAGTATCCGATGTCGCAGACCCAGCAGGCGTGGTCGTGGTCGTGGTCGTGTCCATTGGCACTGGCGCTTGTTCGCTCGCCATGCTTTGCTATGAGGAGTGTGTTTGCGCGCGTCCGTTCCTCGTTCAACCCTGTTCGTCCGACTGTTTTGTGACAAAGCTCGAAAGATGAAGCGTCTCGTTGCTTGTCTTGCTTGGTTTGCTTGCGATTCAGGCCTGCATCAAGCAAGAAAACCAAAAAACGAAAAAAAAAGTGAGCAAAAAAAAAAAAAAAAAAAGTGAGCAAAAAAAAAAAAAAAAAAAGAAAAAGAAAAAAAAAAAAGGGGGACAGCATGGTTTGCAATGCAGATCATCGACGAGTGATTGGGGGGGGGGGCATTGCATGGAACGACCACAAGCAAACTGAAGGCGAGGAGTGAGGTTGACACTGGCACAGACACGTGGGCAGCGGGAAGCGCAAGGAGCGCAGCGGTCCAATGCGAAACGAGCAAATGGAAGATCTCCAATGCTGCTGGTTGTGGATGGCGATGCAGCAACACCCCGTCCACAGCCACCTTCGTCCCCTAGCCATGTGCACACACAACCAAGTAGGTTGCCGCTGCAGCAACGCTCACCCTCGACAAACCCCAGCCATCGCACTTTGAGATTTTTTTTTTTTTTTTTTTGGCGCCAAATTTCGAGCGTTATTTTGTCTTTTCATGCAAAACCAACTAAACTCACCAAACAAACGAGAATCAACAAAAGACGAATGAACTGCTACAACAGGAGCCACACATGGACATGTCGCATGAGAGGCGACCGACCTCTGCTCAGCTTGTCCGATCTTTGTCAGCGCTCCAAGATCGGACGGGACGACCGTTCGCGAAATTGGTGCAATGCTGTGAACACGACCGATCTGCTTTCCGGCTTTTTTGCTTTGATTTTGGGAAGAAGCAGTGGCCGAAGGGACTCATGCACAATCTACCGCGATTGTCGTGCAAAATTTCGTTGCCTCGTCTCTTTTGTTGTTGTCATTTTTTACACTTTTTCTTTTTTCTCTTTTCGTTCCTTTCCTTGTTTTTTTTTTTCTTGTTTTTCTCCTTTTGCCTTTTTTTTTTTTTTTTTTTGGTCGCATGTTCACCAAAGTAAGCCAAAGCCTCATCATCCTCATCATCCTCATCCTCATCCTCATCCTCATCATCGCCATCATCCTTCGCTCGTATGCCACTGGTTCTGAGGTGTGGGTCGAGGAAGCAAAGAACTCTTTCTCGCTCAGCCTCGCTCGCTCGCTCTCTCACGCGCGCGCTCTCTCTCTCCCTCTCCCCCTTTCACCCACCCTACCTCGTATCCTGTGATAAGCTTTGTTGCGACAGTCGAATCGAGTCAAGCAGGAAAAGTGACGCAGCCAGCAGAAACAGCGGAAAACTCGCAATGGAGACCACCATTAATGATGCGGTCGCACTCTCGCTGGTCGTGCCTGACTCTCTTGCAAACACTCTATGTCAATGCGAGGCAGTGGAAGTGATGAAGAAGAGCACGCGGACGGACGTCACGCCGAGCTCGTGGAGAAAGCACTGCAGTTCCATTGGGGGCAATTCATTTACGTCTCTCAAATCATGCGCAAATAAATATTTAGAGACAATCCCACAAAGGGCAAAAACAAGGCGAAATAACCCCCCCCCCAATAAATTAGCCAGCATCGTCCATCGATATACTTTGAACCAGCTGGCTTTCATCACTGTGACGTTGCGGCGATTGTTGTTTGAAGTGCTGCAAACATCTCACTGTTGATGGTATAAATTTCCCTCACTCGCCCTCCAGATGACACCCAAAGGATTTGCCTTTGGTCTGCTTCTGCTGCTACTCTGCGTGAATTATCACGTCCAGATGGCACAAGCAGCCAATGCCTGTGACATTGGCGGCGTGTGCACTTGCTCGGGAACTCAGGTCAGATGCGATGACAGATCCCTCACATTCATTCCAAGCGGAATCCCAAATGATACAACAATCCTGTAAGTGTTGCCGTGTTGATTCGAACTTGAAATTGAAGCATTGACGGCATGGCATGCGGTCGATAGGTCCCTGAACGGCAACCAGATCACCAACATTTCCGCACACACGTTCACAGGTCTGACTGCGCTGACCTTTTTGTAAGGAATGAATGGAAGGAATCACAGGCAAATGGCTGACTTGTTTTGCGATTCTACCTGTAGGCACTTGGGCGCAAACCAGATCACCAGCATTCCCGTCGGTGCATTCACCGGCCTGACTGTGCTGCGAGCATTGTAAACAGCAAATCAATGCAGAATCACACACAAGTCCATAAATGGCTCACTCGTTTGCGATTCCTTCTACAGGTTTCTGTCCGACAATCAGATCACCAGCATTCCCGCCGATGCATTCACAGGCTTAACTGCGCTGGTTTCTTTGTAAGCAAGCAAGAGCAAGCAGAATCACCCACAGATGGCTCACTCGTTTGCGATTCTAAATGTAGGTATCTGTACAACAATCAGATCACTAGCATTCCCTCCGCTGCATTCAAAGACCTATCTGTGGTTGGGGTATTGTATGCAAGGGCTCTCATTTGCACCTGGTTTGATGAATGATTCTGACTTCAAGTTTGATTTTTGCAGGGCTTTGAACAACAATCCTTTCACCACTTTGCCACCTGGTCTGTTTCAGGGCCTGCCAAATGGCTTGTGGTTGTCGTGTGATGAGTACTCATGCGTGGGACCGCTGCGACCCAACAACTTTGCGTTTGGTGCTAACACTGCCGCTCCGCCCAGCACTTACGGCAGCGCATCTACGCCAAACCGTAAGTCCCGGGGGTGACTGCAATTCTCTCGCGATCACTTCACTGACATGTGTACTGCAGAGTGCGATACAGCTTGTGCCACCTGCTATGGCTATGGATCCAGTTCGTGTTGCGAGCTCAATTGTCTGACCTGCAGTTCATCCGATCTCTGCACTCAGTGTTATGAAGGCTTTGTTCTGATGGATGGGTCTTGCGTTTCGCTTGCTTCTGCGGCCTCAGCCTCAATTGCCTCCATTGCCTCACAGGCATCTGCATCGGCCGCAAGTGCTTCATCTGTGTGGCTCACATCTGCTGCATCCGTTGCATCTGCTGCGTCCGCATCTGCCGCATCTGCCGCCTCTGCTGCGTCTAATGAGTCGAGCGGTGCATCTTCTGGGCCTATTATTGGCGGAGTGATTGGTGGCGTGTTTGCCCTGCTCCTGTTGGTTGCGCTGGTCGTGGCCCTTCGGCGTCGTCGCGCGCTCGTGTCTTCACCGACCACGTACGCGACGCTCGATGAGGGACCTTCAGGAATGTCGATGACGAGTAAATCGCAAGTTTGAGTGTCCGTCGCTGTTGTGCTGCTCGAGTTGGGTTTTTCTTTCTTTGTTGTCATTCGCATGCATCCCTTGTTGTTCTCGAGCTAGTTCTATGTCATTCGCATGCATCCCTTGTTGTTCTCGAGCTAGTTCTATGTCATTTTCAATGCAGCTATTGTGTCTTACGAATTGCCGAATCGTTCGGTGTCGCGTTATGGTGTTCCAAAACCCGATGCGCACCAGAACTCGCACCGTCAAAGCAACGAAAGCTGTTGTGTGTGCAGTGTAAGTCGGCCCAGAGTTTCGAGCCGCTCTGGTCGCTTGAAAAGAGTGCTACTGTAAGTTCCGAGCCGACTCTCTTCGCCAGTTTGAGCTCCGTTTCGAACGCAGCAGCCAGCTTGAAAGCACACTCACACGCTCCGCTCTAACTTGATCGTTCTCAACTGCTCGAGGTCAGAATGACAGTTTGTCGAGGTTACTGATATCCAATCACCGGCGTCGCCCCCGCACCCCAATTTCCACTTGACTCCAGCCTGCCCCCTCACTCAGACCGCAACTCGACTAGATCTATCCAAATGCAGTGACGTCTTGTACCTGCAAGCAACCTGCTCATTGGTTGGAGGCGTTGCCTGGATGACCAATGAGCCATTTGTTGATGACCCAGATCAGATCTCTCTTGACAACAAACACCACTCCCCCCCCCTCCACCGACTGCGTGTTGCCTTCACCCCTCCCCCGACTGAGCGAGCATCATTCCAGTGGCTCTTTCGGCCAGCGCACACGAGAGCGCAATGACGCGTTGCTATGCACTGGAGCGCTCAGGTTGAAGAGGTGTTTGTGTAATTTCGAGTGGCACACGGGCGGATTCGTTTTCGAACACAAAAAGTAAACAAACAACACACCTTCAATCCCTATGGATCTCCAGATCTGATACAGCATCTGTGAGAATGAATGGAAACGTTCAAGCCGACTGCTGGTTGAGCGGCCTGCTCGCTCTCTCTCTCTCTCTCTCTCTCAACGTCGTGATGCGCTGGCTCATCCTGCCCCATTTCAAACTCCCCGTCCACTCAATTTCTAACAATCCAAAGAGCCATTCCTGAGAGTTTAAGCATCACCAGTCCTCTTCCATTCAATCTTGTACGACTGACCACCCACAACGCCATCACAGTTTGCCGAAGTCCACCCGTCCGCGTCACCCATTTCTCCTTCCTCCCACCCCCACCTCTTCTGCTTGTATCCAAGCTGAGCGACGTCGCCAGCGTGTGTTTCGAGTGCTCGCTTGATAGAAACAGCCCGAACAGGGGGGAGGAGCGGGAGGCGGCATTTTTCGCGTGCCAATGCACTTGTTCTCTCACGCTCTCTCTCTCATTCTCTCGCGTCCCTGTACCGCCTTCCCACCCCCTCCTCGCCACCCTTCCATCAGCAAGGGGGCCCCTTCCGTTCTTCCCCTTCCTCCCATCCTTGACCCCACCACCCCCGTCTTCTCTCCCACTTTGGCTTTGTGCATTTCAATGGAGCATGGGTCTTTTTTTTTTTTTTTTTTTTTTCTTTCTTGTATTCATTGATTTTCCCCTCTCTTCTCTCTCTCTCTCTTCTCTCCCGCTCTCGCTTTTACTCCACCCCACAGCATCACTCTCTTACCCAATTCAACCACATGGCCACCCAGCCGCTGCAGACTGTTCGTCCCTTTCGCCTTATTTTGGTCGTGTAAATTTGCTCCGAGACCGCTTTTTTTTTTTTTTTTTTTTTGCTTCATACTTGCGCTCTTTTTGAAGTGCCAAAGTGTGGTTGAGCCCCCAGCTGAGAAGACAGTCAATGGTGGCCAAGTGTTGGATGCGAGGATGGGGTGGTGGTTCGGTTGGGTCGACGCTTGGTGGGATTTTTGGCTGAGATTGAAGAAGCACAATTTTTTTTTATTTTATTCTGAAAATAATAATTAAATTCATTGGAAATTGCATTGCATTGCTTTTTTTTTTGTTTTTTTTTTTTTTTTTTTTTTGTTTTTGGTTTTTGGTTTTTGTGCTGATCTGATCTCAAACATCGTCGTCCTTCACTGACGCACTTTGTCTCATTTCGATAGTGGTGTCTCACTTTCTGTATTTTTCTTGTTAGTTTTCTGACACAAAATGGTCCGAGAGTACAAGCTCGTCGTCCTGGGCATGGGCGGTGTCGGCAAGTCCGCCATCACTGTGCGCTTTGTGCAGGGCGTCTTTGTCGACCAGTACGACCCGACCATCGAAGACTCGTACAGGAAGCCCCAGGAGATCAACGGCGTGTCGTGCGTGCTCGAGATTTTGGATACTGCCGGAACTGAGAACTTTGCCGCCATGCGCGACCTCTATTTGCGCAACGGCGAGGGCTTCCTTGTCGTCTACGCCGTCAACACCCCTGCCACATTCAACGACCTGGAGCCCTTCCGAACACACATTGTGCGCGTCAAAAACCTACCAAACAATCAGACCGTCCCCATTGCCCTCATAGCCAACAAGATTGACGTGCCCGCAAACGAGCGAGAGATTACCCAGGAGGCCGGCAAGGCCCTTGCAGACTCATGGAAGGCCCTCTATTTTGAAACAAGTGCAAAGGAGAACATTAACGTCACCAAGGCCTTTGTGGAGCTGTGCCAGGAGATTAGCCGTCTGAAGGGTGACTCTGTCAATGCCAAGCCAAAGAAGAGCGGTGGCTGCATGTTGTTGTGAGCATCAGCATCGTACGGATCCGGGGCACACCATGAAGCTGCTGAGCGGTTTTCTTGTTGTTGTCCTTTTGGTCGTTTTTGGATGAGGTGTTTTTTTGTTTTTTCTGTTTGTTTGTTATGGTCGTTTTGTTTCGTTTCGACTTTTCCTTGTCTTGTTCCTTCCCTCCGTTCTTCTTTTGGGACGAAGGTTGTCATCGATCGATGCTTTCTAGTTGTGTGTGTGTGTGTGCGTGTGTGTGCGTGTTTGTTGGCATTCTATTGGTCTTGTTTTTCCCCAAAAATTGTTTGTTTGAATGGTGTCTCGTTTTCGCACACTTTGATGCTTCGTACTATCAACAACGCGGACCTCCAAGTCGAGGAATTTTCACCATAATGCGTATTGTGTGGACTGTGTTTGATGCCTCTGTGTTAATTCAGTTCCTGTTTTTCAACTGTTTTTGTCTTCCATCTCAATCGCTTCAAGGTGAGGCGGTTGGGGACCTCCATTCTTTGCTGCACGCGCATGACGAACATTCAGCACGCGCGTCTGTGCTCGCAACACAAATACGCGCAAGACAAATGCCGGAGCGAGCAGTGGTCATTGTCGTTGAAGCTGGAGACGGACGAGGGTGTGTGTGTTTGCTGTGTGTTGGGCTGTTGTTTATGCCGAAACCTAGAGATGATTGCCCGCCGCGCACTATCACTCCCGCCACCGTGTCTCAGCATCAGAGACATGGATTACCGACTTCATCGTAGCATGCATGCTGCGTCATTGTCGACATGCTGGCTTGCGTGGTGGCGGTGGGTGTCCGAAGGGGGGGGTGTGTCGTTAAGATTGTAATTGGAGAAAACCAAAACACACAATCTTAATAAGGACCGAATCACAACCTCACCTGCGCCGCCTGCAGCTCGACACACAGCCAGCTCGACACGAAAAGAGGGGTAAAATACAAGGCATTGCATGTTTGGGCCCTTGGAAGGGGGCCGGAAATGCTGGCTCGAGTTGAACGCAGCAAACTCAGGGGCTTAGGCTGATGATTTTGCTGACGCCTCCATGTCGACGCTGCACCAGCATCGACTCAGCAGTCACTATCAACCAAACACTTCAGGGACAGGGGCTTGTTTGATGAAAAAGAAAAGAGCGAAGGGGAGTTGGCGACAGCGATGCAAAGAGTTTGACAAGTCCTGTCGCTGCGATGCATTGCATCGATTCGTGATCACTGACGCTTTGGTGCTCCAGTACAGCATGCGACATTGGAATGCCTCAATGGCAACGCAATTCTGGAGCATTTTCGTGCTCGTCTGCTTTTTGGTCGGATCTGCGCACGCCGTCCAATACCGTGCAACATGCTTTGCACGCGCGTTGTATTTCACCCAAGCTTCTGGCTGCGGTGAACCAACCTGTACGTGCCGCTCCTTGGTTGCTATGATGCATTTGCCTGTCCTGTGACGCTCACTGATGCTTTGCGAACATAAAGGCGACCCTTACTGCACTGGTTGGGTGAAATTCGCACCGAACGGCAACGCAAGCTGGAATGCTGGTGAACAAGAATCCCACAGCCCTCGTTGGAACATTGACATCAACTATGGCATTGTGAACAACTGGGCAGGGACGGTGCAATGGTTTGTCGACTGCGAAGACATCGATCCTTGGCCCAATACCAACGATGACATGGGATCAAGGACGTTCAATCCCATCACCCTGAACGGCAATGAAGAGCAAGGCAGCTTGACCACCAATCCTTGGCAAGGTGTCGATCTCGGAGGCACCATTGGTGGCGTTTACAACATTCCTGCAGTCTACGTCTACCATCGCGCCATGTGCGACCAATACTGGTATGGTGCTCGTTGCGGCGAGTACTGCAAAGTCAGCGATCCGCCGGCGTGCACCGCTTGCAATTCCCCATCAGGCGTGTGCACTTGCTCCGTTGGTTACACGGGCAAAGACTGCGAGTCCTGCGTCGGCCCAAACTACTGGCCAGTTGGCACGCCGGGACAAGCCGGCTTCCAATGCGTGTATTGCAAGAACCAAAACACTGCCTTTGCGTGCTACACGTGCGGCACAGGTGGCATCAAAAGCTGCTGTGACGGCTGGACTGGCCCGAACTGTGACATTCCAAACCTGTGCGGCGCGTTCCCGACACCCCCTTTGAACTCGATTGCCGTCATGAATGCCACTTCTTGTAACTGCAACACTACTGGATGCATGTGCACCTATGCATGCAAGTCTGGCTTTTCTGGTGGCTCTGCTACGACGACGTGTCTTTCAACCGGGCCTTGGAGCTGGAGTTCAACTTTGACCTGCACGGACAGAGACGAATGCGCTCCGGGCGGCGGCAACCAGTGCGCTCAAATCTGCACAAACACCATTGGCGACTATACCTGCTCTTGCAACTCGGGATACAGCATCAGCAACGCTGGCCGCGGTCCGAGCGGATGCACAGACCTTGACGAGTGCTCGACAAACAATGGCAACTGTGGCCAAAATTGCAACAACGTTCCAGGATCGTACCATTGTTCCTGCTACGATGGTTTCCGGTTGCAGGGCGACGGCAAATCATGCTCGGAGATTGACGAATGCCAAGAAGGCTTGGACAATTGCGACGGGAATGCCACCTGCACCAACACCATTGGCAGCTTTGAGTGCGCGTGTTATGCCGGATTCGTGGGCAATAGCACTGTTTGCACGGACGTCGACGAGTGCGCCACTTTGCCTTGCAGTGAGTTTGCTGACTGCGCCAACTTTCCCGGCAACTTCACTTGCACCTGCCAAATCGGCTATGCGGGCAACGGCGTCCAGTGCGTGTTTGGAAATTCAGCGGCTTTTGCGGAAAGCTCGCGGTTTGTACTCCTTTCTGACGGCGCATCGAGCGCCACCTCGCCCATCCAGTTGCGCGTTGAAATGGTTCCTGAATTTGACGGTACTCTTGTCCCCTTTAACGTGTCTTCGCTGGATCTCATCCTCGGCGTTGATTACACTGTGGAGACCCCATCTCCGCTGGTCTTCAATCTCGGCGACACATTCAAGTCCATTACGATTGTGGTGATAGGCAATGACGACCCCGAGCCTCTTCGGAGCCTCTTTGTTCAACTGCAAGATTCAGTCAGCGCGTTTAACAAGTCGACAATTGCCGTGGACGCCAATGACAATCCAAATGCAGTGGTACGCTTTGCCGAGGAATCACGCGCGTTTCGGGTGGACATTACCGCTGGCACCTACCCTCTCACGATTGAGCGGTACTCGTATGCATCACTCGTGAATGCCATCAATGTCACTGTGTGGTGCGATTTCCCAGTGCCCCAAAACATTTCGATCGTGATTCCCGCAAATCAAGCCACAGCAACAAAGGTCATTCAGCTGCCATTCTCGTCTGTGCCTACTCTTGATGTCGTGCACACGTATACCATCGTAGATGCAACGGTAACTGGCAGTGGATCTGCCGCAGCTATCGGCTACTATTCGACTTCTCGCGTGACCGTGAACGCACACGACGACCCTTATGGTGTGTTTGGATTCAGCTTGACTCAAATGTCAGTGGCGGAGAGCTCTACGGGCTTTGTGCAGTTAAAGCGACTCAAGGGCACTCTGGGAACTACGGTCGTCCGCGTGCGAAGTTTGACTTTGAGCTCAAGTCAAGCCAATGGTGTGGGAATCGCATCCCCAAGCGACTATGCCGCTGTTTCCCAGCTTGTCACTTTCAGTGAAAACGATGTCGAGGCCCAAGTCTCTATTGCAGTGCTTGCCGATGGTGTCCCTGAGCTTGATGAAATGTTTGGTCTGCTCTTGGAGTATGTGTCTGGACCTGGCCGTGTCGATGCGACATTGGCGCTGGCGTTGGTCACCATACCCGAGAACGACAATGCGCGTGGTGTTCTCTCAATCACGCGGGTGTCCAGTTGCTTTGAAGAGTCGCCCCTTGTTGGTGGAGTTCCTCAGCTGAACAACACGGTGGCGATCGAAGTCATCCGCTCTGGTGGTCTGTATGGTGCCGTTTCATTTACCTGGTCGATGCACAGCGGAAGGTTCAAGAACACGACGCTGTCCGCCGACAATCGAGCATCAGCGCCCGGAGATTACACGGCCTTGTCAAGTCAAACAGTGACCATTGCTGCTGGTGTGGACCGTGCACAGATTCAAGTGGTGCTGCTTGCCGACTCAATCCCAGAGTTGGACGAGTACTTTTGGGTGCAGCTGGATTCGGCAAGCTACGGCGTGACCATTGACCCAGTCAGCAACTTTACAGACGTTTGCATCGGCATGAACGACAATCCATTCGGATCTTTGGCGTTCGAGCGTGTCAATCTCACGCTGAGTGCGACGGGCGAGAGCCGTCTGCTTGTTCGCGAGAGCGATGTTGTGACTGTCGCTGTTTCGCGTGTCGGTGGCACATTCCACCGAGTGTCGGGAGTTGTCTCCATCGCGCATGAAACAACCAACTCGACTGATTTTGCTGACAGCTCCGCTCGCACTGTCACGTTTGAACCTGGACAAAGTACTGCGTTGGCATCGTGGACAATCAGCGCGGACAGTGGAGAGGAGCCGACCGAGCTGTTCAAGCTTGTTTTGACGGCGAACGGAGCCAGCGCTGGTCAGGAAGCAACTTTTCTTGTTGGCGCGACGTCGTTGGACTCTACCATCCCGTGCGCTATTGAAGCCCAGGATGGTGTAACCGGCGTTTTGTCTTTTGTTCAACCGACAATTTCTGTTGTCGAGGATGCTGGCAAGGTCACTCTGACAGTGCAACGTGTCGGCGGAAGTGCCACAGAAGTCAGCTTCCAGACCAACGCAGTGCCTCTTTCTGCATCCGGCGACGACTTTGACGCGTCAAATCAAAACAACATGCACATCATGGCACCTTCGCAGACGAGTGTCTCGTTTGACATTGAGGTTTCAAAGGACAGTGCTCCTGAACTCGACGAGACGTTCACGGTGACGCTCGTCAACGTGACTGGTGCGACCTTGTCGTGGATGTCAGTGGCGACTGTGACCATTCTGAGGAATGACGACGTCAACGGCGTGATTGAGTTTGCTCCCTCTTCGGGACAAAATCCACTTGTGACGACCGTCTCCGAGGACTCTGGCTTTATTCGGCTCCCTCTGTGGCGCGAGCTTTCACAAGTCGGTGTCGTCACATTGAGCTTTGTCGTGACAACCGACCTCTCGTCCGATCCCGTGTGCGCGTCTCTGTCGGGTTTGGGTCTGTCCTCAGCCCCAGCAAACCTGACACGAGATGTGGACGCGGCGCCGTTTGTGGTGACATTTGGAGACGGTCAAAACGAGGCTGAGCTCGCGATACTGCTGCACGACAACAGCTTGCTGGATGGCAGTCGAGTCATGTTCATCTGCCTGAAGGATCTGCAAGGAGGGGCGCGCTTTGGTGCCTCTCAAGCGATGGCAATTGTCATTCAAGATGACGAGCATGATACCAACGAATCAAGCTCCGCTCCAGTAGCTGCAGCTGCTGCGGGCGCAGCAGCGGGAGGCGTTGTTGTGATTCTGATCGTCTTGCTGGTTATTGGATTGAGACGTCGTCGAGGACGTTCGAACTTCTCTGGAGCCTCCAAGGGCAAGCAGCTTTCCGGTGCAAGTGATCCAACTTACGAGGCGGTATCTCGTAATCGAATGTATGACAACAATTTACGAGTGCCAGATGATACCTACCAACCGGTACAGCAGACTGTGGTGCAAGAAGACCCCTACGAATCACTGCCACAACCAACAGCTCCCGATGAATCGTTGTTCAACACCGTTAATCCAGCTTATGAGAAAGTCACCGAGGACAATCCCGATTTTGATGCAATGCGCGCGAGTTTCCGACCTTCGGTGCCCGTTGACAATTATGAAGACCTGTATATTGCGAGTGTCACCGCGTTCCAACAGCACCAGCGCTTCTCGAGGCATGAGCTGAAGCTCTCAACACAGCTTGGCTCGGGCAATTTCGGTGAGGTCTGGCTGGCGCATGTGCCCTCCCGATGGCTCGAAAAGAAGTCACGTCAATCTCTTTCCGTCAGCGCAACGACTGTTGCCACTGTTGCCGTTGCCGTCAAGACTCTGAAAGCCGGTGCCAGCGACAAGAGCAAGAGTGACTTTGCCAGTGAAGCCCAGATCATGCGCCGCTTCAACCATTCCAGCATTGTTTCCGTTGTCGAAGTGTTTGTCGAGGAGGAGCCCTGGATGCTCGTGCTCGAGTTGCTTCCGTACGGTGATCTGCGCAAGGTCATCCAGTCGTGCCACGCTCGTGGGTTGACACCAACTGCAGGAGAGTATCTGCACATGTTTTCGCAAGTGGCAAGCGGCTTGTCATACCTTGCTGGGCTGCGCTTTGTGCATCGCGATATCGCAGCACGAAACTGTCTTGTGGGAGCGGACTTGGTGGTCAAGATCTCTGATTTTGGCCTGTCTCGCGAGCTCGAGGAGCAGAACTACTACCGCATGCAGACGCGAGGAGCGCTACCAGTTCGCGTAAGATGCTCGTCTTGGAAAGTTTGTTGTTGGTGCATTTCTCACTCGGCTTGGTTGGATGTGTTTTGGCGTGTGTTGTGTTTCTGCATATTCAGTGGATGGCGCCCGAGTTTTTGCTCTTCCGCAAGTCGTCGCCTGCATCAGATGTCTGGGCGTTTGGAGTTCTCATGTGGGAGGTCATGTCCGCGGGTGTGTTGCCATACAAGGGCGTCGATTCCAAAGCCATCGTGCAGTTCCTCGAAAGCGGCCAGCGGCTGTCTCGTCCACCGCTTTGCAACGACAAGCTTTGGGCGTTAGTCTCAAGTTGCTGGAGTTGGGAGGTGACCGACCGTGTTGATGCCGCACAGCTCTATGCTGCGTTTACGCGAATGGCATTCGACAACCCCGAATTGGATTCCGTTCGCGATCTCGGCGCGCTGCTTGCTTGAGTTGTTTTCTTGCTTGGACTCGAGTCTTGCCCCGTTCTGTTTGTGCATGTTGTCTGAAATGTTGAGAAGAAGAACTGTTTGTTTGACCATAATGTGCCGTGATGCCTTTCTCCACGAACAATTCACACACTTCTTCTCAACGACTCAACCGAGGGACACACATTGAAACGACAACCAACTCGCACTCGGTCGCTCAATCGCCACAACGACGCTTTTGATTCTTTCTGTTCAATCCAGCTCGTCTTCGTTGGTTTCCATTTTTCATTCCCCCTTTTTGTTTTCTGCTTTCTTTTTTCGCATTCGTTCACTCAATCGTGTTTGTCATTCGACTGTGGCTGCTTCCAGTCGTCTGCTGCGAATGGCCTCGTCCGAGCCAACCAGCAGTCCACCAACCCTTGTTGGAGGCGGAAGTGAACGCCGTGTCAACTTTAATCACGTCGCCATCTCAGTCGGTGCCCCGCAGAAGGAGACGAACCCACCTGCAACAGCAGCCGAGAATGCCAAAAATCCCGAGACAGCCGCACCTCAAGGACGTAGTGATTGGATCAACGACGGGGATGACGAAAATGGGCAAGAAAAGACGCTCGAAACAGCGGCCGTTCGCGACCCACGCCCTCAACGCGTCCTCACAGGGCGTCGCTGGCTGACTACCATACCTCAAGACGACCGCCACAATATATTCCTGCAAGTGCCACCCACAGGTTGGGCAGGTGTGGCGCAGGGAGAGACCTCTGCAACAACGGCCGATTGCCGCTGCCGCACGGCGAGCACCAGCATTCCGGTGCCAGTCTCGTCCGAGAGCCTGCCCGCAGATTTTTACACTTCGACAGCACAGTACCAGCATGCAAAACCCGTGCCGATGACCGCTGCGAGTCGGCGGAGAGCGACGATTGACACGCTGCGCGTCTTTGTCCCGAATGTCATTCCAACCAGCGAGAAGAACGCCGCCAAGCTGGCTGCTGAGAAACACGCAGGGTCGAGCAAATGGCGGCGGTTTCTGCCAGATATCACCTATTACAAAGTCCACTTGCTCTACATTATCGTCATGGCCCTGATCTGCGCGACGATTGTCTGGGGCATCGAGGACATTTCGTACACGAATGCTGCATATCTCGGTTTCGCGAGCGTTTCTCAAGCGGGGTTGATATCGGTGGATTTGTCCACCCTACACACGGGGAGTCAAGTAACGCTGATACTCACAGTGCTCTTTACCTGGACGAGTAGGTTTGACAGTGCATCTCGAGGCACAAAAACTTGCTGTTGTTTGTTTGTTTGCTTGATATTTGAAATCATCAGCCTCGATGCTCACAATCGTCAATGTTGTGCTATAGTTCCGCTGACACTCATGCCAGTCACCATCCGTCGCTATTACTTTGCAAAACGCTTGCGGGCAGCTGGCGTGTCGCCAGAGGACGCGCAGCATTGCATTACAGAGTACGCCGCATTGCGCACCATCACTCACATTGTGATTGGCTTCATTGTCGTCTGGCTGGTGCTGGGGTTTCTCGGACTGTTCTTTTACATGCAGTTCAGCTCGACCGCGCAGCAGACTCTTGATGCGAACAACGATCAGTCGGCGCCGTACTTTTCCTTCTTTCAGTGCATTTCAGCGCTGAGCAACACGGGATTTTCCTCGTTCAGCTCCAACATGGTGGCTCTCAACACTCAAGCATACCCTCTCATGTGGATTGCCGTTATGGGATTGGTGGGTGACACCTTCTATCCGATTCTGCTGCGATTCATCGTGTACTGCCTGTACCGATGGAGCAAGAGCCGTGTACTCGAGCGCTTTCGGCAGTGGCAAGACCGAAGACGCAAAAAAGCACATCCTGCAGCTGTCCCAGAGCGAAAGGACAGCGGAGTAGACGCCGACTCGATGGAGGTTCCGTTCTCGGAAGCCAACAGTAACAAGCGCCAAACAGCAGGTGGAGTGCCACAAATCATTGTCACGTCGACCGATGGCGACGCAAATGAAATTCGCCCGATCGTCACTCCAGCAGCCAGTTCCTCAGCGGAACATGCGGCGGAAGGAACACAGCGAGACCGAGAGGACGGGTCGTCGGTAACGGCCGTCCCGCCGACTGCAGCAACTTTGAGCCAGCTCAATCGTGCCGCGTTGACAACAGCATCAATGGACTGGTGGCACCGAACCACCTTGATTGGAGCACCCCCATGCCCTTGCGTTTGCCATCGAGCAGACAACTTTAACGATGCTGCGCACGTTTTGCGGAGCTGTTGCCTTGCAGCGCGCGAGTACTTTGCTCCCCGTTCCAGTTCCGCGTCCACGTCGACTTCTGCGCCTTCCACCAGCTTGACGAGCACGGCCGACGGCATAATCCAACGAAAACGGCAATCCCGCTACGTCACGCAAAACGAGCAGACCATCCCGCACCATGACAACTTTCTTCACCGACACCTCCACAACCACCATCACTACCGAAAGCAGTACCGCACGTTCATGGAGCGCTTTACCGCACATCACCACGTCGTCCAGACATCAGACATTTATCTGTTTCTGCTGCGACAGCCTCGACGCTGCTACACGCACCTGTTTCGTTGGCCCGAGACGCGGTGGCTGATTTTTGTGTTTGTCACGCTGAATGTGTTGCAAATTGCGCTCTTCCTCGGCCTCGACTGGAACTCGGACGCACTGGCCAGCCTCGACACTGGTGAGAAGATTTACAACGGCATCTTCCAGTCGTTTGTCGCGCGGCGTGCGGGATTCAATTCAGTCGACTTTAGCCAGCTGGCGCAGAGCATGCTCGTGTGCTACATTGCGTTCATGTACATTTCTTCGACGCCAGTGGTGGCCGTTGTGCGTCAGACGGATCGTAGCGCAGCATCCCAGCTACCATCCACTGAGCTGGACATGTCGGGTTTGCCGGTGAGAACAAACCGAGGCTCGCTCAAAGTGCAGACTCGTCGCCTTTTCACACAAGATCTCGCCCTGGTGTACCTTGGGCTGGTTGTGATTTGCATTATCGAGCGTGACCAACTTGAGCAGCACACAACTGATTTCACAGTCTTTAAAACAGTGTTTGAGATTGTGTCGGCGTACGGTGGCATTGGCCTCAGTTTGGGCTACCCCGGCACAACCGCATCCTTTTCTAGCATCTGGCGGCCGGGATCAAAGTGGGTTCTCATGTTGATCTTTTTGCTCGGCAAGCAGCGCGGCTTGCCATACTCGATCGACCACGCCGTGCAGCTCACTTTCAACTTTGGCTCGCGTCGGCCGTGGTCGCCAAGCGCTTCTTCTGCGCCGACTTCGTCCACGGCTGGCTCTGGCCGATCCTCGCCGACGAACGCGACTCTCTCCAGGGATGTTTCTCGCGAGCAGCCTGCAAGTGTGCCAGCCTCACCCTTTGAGCAAAATGGCAAGAGTGGTCAAGTTACCTAATGTATTAAATAAAAACGGGGACGGGGGTGGGGCGAACACACAACGGGCTGTCCCTCGCCTTCTGAATGCAGACACAAATTTCCTAAACATCAGAATCTCCAGTCACACCCCCGTTCAAGATGGCCGAGTGTGCGTGAGCAAAGTGCTCGGGAGGCCCAAACTTGACGTGAATGCTGCCATGTAGTTCGCAAGTGCGGGTCGAGAACTGGCGCAAGGGGATTGTGAACGGCTGTGGGTTGGCGTCGAACGCCTGCTTTAACGAAAGGATACCCTGGTGCTGATGTTCTCGACGCCGATCGGGGTCATCGGAAACAATCACCAGCAAATGCTTTCTCAGTAGAAAAGCGGGATCGGTGAGGATGGGCGCGACCGACAACGAGCCACTAAAGGTCCACTGCAGAGGGACTTTCTTGTCGACGGCAGTGGCAGACGTGGAACGGGCTTCGGCCTCAATCATGTCGCCTGTCACCACCAGCATGGGTTTGAAAAACAGGGACGGCGCAATTTCATCGAGCTCCATGCCTCCCTCCGGGTTCGCGGTTGGCTCATGATTCTGGGCGAGGGCTGCACGCGAGACAGTCACACGCAGGTCGGTCAACACGATACGACACGGCAGTGAGGTGATGAGGGGAGCGAATGGAAGCTGCGCGTGCACCGAGTAAACGCCAAAGACGGGGCGATGGTCGCTTGTTTGGATGCTGGTGTCACTCGAGTACTGGACTGCAGAAACATGGTGGCCGGGACGGGTCTTCCACAGAATGCGGTCACACCAAGAAGGCACCCGAAGGAGTTTGCTCTCGTACACGTTTTGACCGCGATCGAGCTTGAAAGTCGGCGCAAAGTCGATTAGCGCTTCGGTGAAGCCCGAGAACACGCGCTCGGCCTCACACTCTTTGTGCAGCTGGTCGTGCTCAAACAGCGCATCCCAGTCGCCCTTTTGCGTGAGCTCGAGCACACGATCGCGCGGCAAGTCAATTCGGTAGTTCAAATCGCCCATCCAGAACAGATAGTCAAACGCGTTGGCGAGGGAAGCTGACGAGTCTGTGAGATGCAGTCCCCTGCAAATCGACGAAACATCGCGGTTTCGCTGTTTGACTTTTTCTTGGTGGGCGGCCAGATGCGACGCCACAAAGCACATGCTCGAGTTATAGATGGAAAACGAGATGGCGACTCCTCCCTTGTTCCACATGACCTGTCAACAAGTAGTAGTCGAGAGAAAAAAAAATGAGGGGAGAGGGACAAATAGCGTCGACGTCAAGAGACAATTCCCCAAAATACATGACAAAACATGCCCAGTAAACTCACCCTTGCAATTCCAGTGGCTTCACGCCCAATCTTGACATCAGTAATAAATTCACGATGCTCGTTTAACGCCATGACGACCAGACGAAGGCCGCCGGTTCCAGGCAAATCAAGAAACTCGACAGGACCATGTGTTTTGTCTTCGCCGACAGACTGCAAAGCGCCAGAGACAATGTTGCATTCGGCGACGCGAAAGTACCGCCTACCGAGCGTTTGCTCGACCAGACTGAAAAAGTGGGCAGCCGAGTTTTTCATGTACACGCACTCCTGCACACCAATGGCAACAATGTCGTGGCCAACCTGGACCCAAGAGGTGAGTCGCGTCGGAGGCTTTGCATTTCCGACATTCCAGGTCCCGACAAAGACCGAGAGCGGCCGCGTGGGCAGCGCTCTCAAACTGCTCCGGACTGCCAGAGGAATGTGCTCTTGGCGGCGGAGATAGGCAACGCACTCGTGCGGAGATGACGTTTCGGTCAGCTCTGAGGGTGGTGCCACCAAGCCGTAAAAGTCGTCCAACGCACGCGCACGCTCAATCGAGATGGCCTGCACCTGCTGCATTCGGCGGTCCAAATCGCGAAGTTGGCTGACGGCAAAGAATGTCTGCGCAGCAGTATACGAGAGAACCATGCGAATTTCGTTGCGCGCGGCCATGAGGCGATCGACCTCGGCAAGCTGAGGGCCATCGTCCTCGGAAGCGGCTTGTCTTGAGCGAGTCTTTTTGGGGAGTGCGAGGGCGGCGGCATTCGGCGCCGATGCAGGCACAGCTGCCACACCGGATGCAACAAGATTCGGGTCGGCAGACACGGTGGGAGCATTCGCGAGCGTGGCAACCGGAACCATCGGAATGACAACCACGCCTGCCTCGACTGGGGCCATTGAGGAGGTGCCGTGGTCAAATGTTTCAGCTGGAACGACTGGAAGTGCGACAACACCGCCAGGTGCATCACTGGGAAGAAGAGTTTCGGGTGGTGGATTTGCTGCGGTGACTGCAATGCCCGACTTTTGGGGCTGGAAGGCAGTTTTCGGGATTTTCAAGTTGATTGGCTCTGCCAGCGGGTCAATGTCACTCGACAGTGCCAAAAGCGAGCTGCCGTGTGCCAGATCTTCCAAGTTGGAAATCACTCGGCGAATGATGGTGGCCATTTTGTAGGCAAGAAATACCACAACAGCTGTCGCCAGGCCGAGCAAGCCAACAGAAACGTACGCGGCACGAATCTACAAGCAGCGCACCGGTCAGACTCAAGGGATTGGGTGTGATACGCACCTGCCCCCAGCTTTTGCACCCAATACACACAGCGAGAGACCATTTCTTCAATTTCGAAAGGCAACCCTGCAAAACTCACAGCGGACTCTTGGACAGCTCCCACAACGTCGCTCTGAGAAACAGTAATGATGACTGTAACCGGCAAGATGGTCGACCCAATTGAAATGCCAGTGCTCTGAACCGAAGTCCAAGGATCGCCAGTCTCGACAAAGTTGAGAGGGGTGTGGCGCAGAATTCTTTGGCACATCTGGGCAGAGATCGAGGCAATCTGGGAAGAGCATTCGCCATCGCAGTCTTGAGGTGTCGGGTACAGCAAAAAGTACTGCTGTCCACCAAACTCGACGCACGCTTGGTCAAAAATCAACCACACGACTTGGGACGGGTAAAACTTGACTTGATTGAGAAAGGAGGAAACGAGGCTCGGCGAGTAGTCCAATGCCATCACCCCGCTAACTTGTGGAGGGTTTGGTGGAGGGGACAGGGGACTGTCCCAGACATACGGGATGGGGAAGGTGAATCGCAGCCGCCCAATGCTGTAGGTATCTGGCTCTCTGTAAAAGAAGATTCGTAGCGTGTTTGCATTGTAGGTGTCAATGTACCACGGCTCGTCTTGAGCGGCAGACGATGCGTTGGGCTGTAGATAAAGCTGATTGCCGTCGCAGTTGAGCTTGCGGTTGTTGACAAAGTCCGGAAGCTCGTTCTCCGTCATCATGCACGCCGCATCCGGGCAAGCAGTCGTCCATGCCGTGGTCACGGCAAACGAAGTGTTGTACGGAATTGGATCGAAGGGCTGGGGGAAGAGCGGTGCGCGAGTGTCTGGGTTGACCGCAACAATCGCTGCGCTAAAGGTTGAGCCTGTCTGAAGGGCAATGGTAGCGGCGACGGTCGGCGAGGAAGCCGTGATGATCAAAGGGAATAGGTTGGAGTAAATCAAAAAATTGGCATTCAAGACGCTCGTGTTGAACATTGCGTCCAGTGCGGGCAGCGTCCAGTTGACAATGCCCGTGCACGGGAATGTGACGGGCCCCAAAGGAGGGTTGACTTTGCCATAAGATCCAGTCGTCCACATCAAGTAGTGGGCCAGCAGCGTTTGGTAGGCTCCTACAATGAGAATCTCAACCACGTTTCCGACATTCGAGTTGAACGACGTCAACGAGGACGTGCCGAGGGACTTTGTTGTATCGCTCAACTGCGACTGCCACAAGACCCACATTGCCATGATTGCCAGCAATTGTTGGACGATGAGAATGATCTACAAGGGAGGGGGGGGTTGAGCAACGGTGAGAATATGGTGGAGCTTCATTCAGATCAGCATCTTTGGATCAACTCAGCGCAACGCCTCATGCGCTTCCTTACCGCGAGAATCGTCACGATGGACATGCGGCACTTGCAGCACTTGCGATTGAGGGCAAACTTGTGCGACTTGGTTGCCGGAATGGGTGCGATTCTGGCCAAATCTGATCTGCTAATGCGACTCGAGTCGCGCGAGAGCACCGACGGGACGGACTTGGACAGCTCAGACTGCTGCTGCTGCTGTGTGCTCATTCTACGACGCAGACTTGCATTGTCAAACGGTTGCTTGAGGTACGGCGGCTCGTCATCGCTGGATGTGCTTGTACGTCCATAGTAGCCATTGGCAGCAGCAGCAGCAGCAGAGCGACGATGTGCACCGCTTGCCCCGCCATTCATCAGTGCCACTGTGGGCAGCGCAGCAGTCGCGTCGTCATCATTGTCCTCCGATCGTCGTGCTGGCTGGGTGCTCCTGGGCACCGCGGCTGTCGGAGCGGGTGCAGCAACGTCACCGTGCGCCATGCTGCTGCCCGTGCGCGCGCTCGTGGTCTGACTCCCGCTGCCACTGCTGCCACTGGCGTCGTCGGAGCTGCTGGAGTCGCTGCTTCCGGTGCTCGGACGCCGGCCGTAAGCATTGGCGATGGACGCGCGTTGACTGGCTTCGACATTGCGCTCCGTGGTCGCAGCCGAGTACGAGCCAGAGCGCGACCGCATTGCTCGGTCCGGGAGTGCTCAAAGAGGTTTGAAAAGTGGCTGATGCTGCTGTTGTGTGAGCCTTTGCGTGGCGTTGGGGATGCTGTAGTTCTAAAGCAAGGAGAGAAAGAACAAAGGGGGACAAGAAGCCGTCTAAATGCGGAAATTCTGAGAATGTCAAGACTGAGCCGCTGAGACAGTGACCCAATTGAAGCAAATTCATTCAAAGAGGTGATAGGAATATTTGAAAGTTCGAGCCTTGTCACCAAAACAGTTTTTATACCGAGATTTGCAAGTCTTTCCTACGCGCAAGTTCGAATGGTGCAACCTTTGTTACGATCGTGTACTGTACATTGTTCATTCAAAAGCAGCAGCAGCATTATTGTCACCATCAAATCGTCGCAAAAAACACCCATTCATGCACAAACGCAAGGATCCAAACGAGCACTTTCGGCGTCGCAACACAACTCGTCCCTCACGCCTTGTCCATGGTCTTGCTGGTGAGATTTCCGTAGCCCAGACCTTGCACCTTGATCTCGCGCGAATCCTGCATGATGGCGCACGTGCAGCAGTAGCACAGCGCGAGAAAGTCGCCCACCAGGGAGCCCTTGATGCCATACTTTTGGCGCAAGTCGCCACGCCAAAGCGGGTAGACACAGGGCAGAATTTGGCAAATGCAACCACTGATGCACATGGCGCCGTCAGTGGTGGTGCAGCCCATTCCCTTGCACGGGCCTGCAATCTTGGCTCCGTCAATATTGAACGCGCCTTTGCCCTGTTTGAAAACAATTCCCGGAAAAGATAGAGGCTCATAAATGAGATGCGGATGCAGACCTTCCCATGACATTTCTTTTCAAGAGAATGGTACCTCTTTGATCATGACGATATTGTTGACGGCGAGGCATTGTGCAGCCGCGGCATAGATGACTAGAAATGCGAATGCGGCAAATTCGAAAATGTGAGTGTTCAATGCACCGCGCTCTGACAAAGCAGCTTATCAGCAATAACTATTATTTCAAGAGGATGATGTGATGGCGGCAAAAACTGCTTCAACCAAGGTCAAACCGTGCTTGGTTTATTTGCAAATCCTCAAAGTCAGCTCCCGTTCATGGCGACTCGTCGTTCTCTTTGTGATATTTGGGTGTCACTCAGCAGCAAGGTGTTGGCTTTCGCCAACCGCTTTGGTCATATTTTTTGCGGCACGTTGACAAAAATGTACCAGTGCGAACTGAAAACCAAAAGCGAAAGGGTGTTATGTGGTTTGAGCATCCAAGCGACTCGTTGGAAAAGCTGTTCATCCAACCCTTGTGAATGCGCCTAATGCGCCTGGTGTGTGCTATTCAGTGAAAGGGGGTGCATCCAACCGAACAATGAACACAAAAAACCAAAATAGAACGAGAAAAGTCCAAAACTCAGACACCAAAACAAAGATGAACGCCGAGTGCAGTGACGACCGTTTTGAAATTCGCTCGCTGGGTTTTCTTCCTCTCTGACTCAGCCAGCACCAGCTCTTTCAAGGCCAGTGTTTTGCCCATTGTTCACCTATTCAAATTGACGCCACAACGAGTCACACGTTCCCAGCGGTCGTTCGTAAACCGTAAGCCGGAGTGTCAAGTGTTTTCGCTCGGTTTTTTGTTTGTTTTTCCTCCTTGAATCAAAACGCTTCTGTCGCACCACAAGACACACAATCGACCAATACATGGAGAAGGGTAGTTCACTGACAGATGGCCAAGTCGTCAAAGATTGAAAACAAGCCAGTGCTCCAGTTGTTGGCAGACATTTTTGACAGGTTCTTGTCGTTGGTTGTGATTAGGGGTGTGGAGAGAGCGACGCGCCGGAAAGACTAAGAGAAAAAAACAATAACGAGTATCAAAGTCGAAAAATCTCTCTTTGTTGACGAATGAGCGGTGTGCTGGTTTTGGAGTGCGTAAGAAAAAAAAAAAGAAACTGATATTTCACAACAAGAACAACAAACACACAAACAAACCACCACAAGACAATAAAAGCACACTTCATCGAGTTTCACGATACCACCAATTTACTTGCCACCAATTTACTTGCCAGTTGAGCTGCTGGTGGATGCCTTCGAGGCGTCTTCAACCTTCGCCTTGGCGGCCTCCTCGGCCTTGGCCGCTGCCGCTGCCGCCTTGCGGGCGGTGCGGGCGCTGGCACGCTCTTCCTTGGAAATCTGGGGTGCGCTGGGAGCGGCAGAGGCGGACGCACGGGCAGCATCAAACGCCGAGGCCACCGCCGCGCCAACGAGCGAGCGGTCGGCGAGCAGTCCGTTTTGGAAGCCCTTGTCGGCAACGAGCTTGGCGACTCGCGCAACCTCGGTGGTAAAGTGGGACGATTGGGCAGCCATGATACCAAGGAAACCATCCACCTTGGTCAAATCCGGGCGGTTCAGATCGAGCTTGAACTGCAAGGGGGCAGGGAGGCCGGCATCCATGATTTCCTGGACCATGTAGCCGTCCGAGCGCTGACCGAGGAAGGACACAAAGATCAGCTTGGCCGGGTAGACCTCGCGGTAGTACCGACCGTAGAGCTCGGTAAAGTCAAAGCCCTCAAACGACCAGTTCTCCTCCTCATCCGTGACAATGAGGAACGACTTGACCACAGTCTTGGCCTTGTAGTAGGGGAACAGGGCGGCAGCCGGAGCCGTCTTGGACGTGGCGAGAATCGAGGTGGCCACGGTGATGACGTCCTTGACGCTGTGCGGCGGGTGGAGCGGCTTCATGCTCACGTCGTTGAAGAAGATGAGCTCGGCCTCGGTCAGCGTCTTGCACAGGGAGGCGATGATTGTGGCGACGCGGATGGCCGACTGCATGGATGCCGAGGCATCGCCAATGCAGACCACCGGCGCCTCAAGCGACAGGGTCAGGGCGCGCATTGCCTTGTCGGCAATCTCGAGCAAAGGATCAATGAACGAAAGGCCAGCGTTCGTGATCTTGCACGTGAGAATGCGCTCCATGAGCTTGCCCACACCGAGGTTGAGGCGGTCCTCGGGGGCGGCCGCATCCAGCGAGCAGTTGGTGTTGTTGTTCTCAGCGAGGGCGGTGAGCTTGCGGGCCAAGACAGCCTCCGTCTCGACGCAGTTTGCCTCCTCAAAGAACCACCACAGGAGCGTGTCGATCGGCGTGTACTCGGCGATGCGCGTCTTCAGTGCCGGCGGCATGGCGGCAAACAGCTTGGGCCAGTCTGCGAGTTGGCGCAGCACAGAGTAGGGAATGTTGTGGCGCTTGAGCAGATCGTTCACATTCTCCACAGTCACCTCTGCGCAGTCCTTGACAATCGATCCGTCGGGCACGGGGTCGCCGTGGACAAAGCGCATAAACCAAGCCGCTTGCGGCATGTCCGAGTTCGGGCCAATGTGGCAGAGATCGGCCAGCTCCCTCCAGGGATCCTTCGGGAAGGTCATTGCGTAGTACTCCAGCATGTGCGCGGGAATGGTCTTGATCCACTCGCGAACGCGGCTGGCGAGGGCACCAGACACGGAGCCGTGGGGCACAGGCTCGGAGCGCAAGTTCTCCATGGCATCCTTGATCACACGAATGCGCTGGCGGGGGAGGAACTTGAGGTGGGGAGCGGGGGCACTTGCGGGAGTCGGGGCAGCAGCATCCGAGGCAGTGGCATCACGAACAGGTTCGCTGCGAGCACCGCCGCGACCGCCGCGACCACCACGTCCACCACGACCGCGACCACCACGTCCACCACGGCCGCCACGAGCGCCACCACGTCCACCACGAGCGCCGCCACGGCCACCACGGCCACCACGGCCGCCACGGGCGCCACCACGACCGCCACGAGCGGCAGGAGCAGGAGCGGCAGTCTCGGCCGCGGGAGCAGGAGCAGTTGTAGCAGGAGCAGCTGGAGCTGGCGCAGCTGGAGCATCTGAAGCAGGCGCAGCTGGAGCATTAGCAGCTGGGGCATCAGCAGCTGGAGAAGCTGCAGCTCGAGCAGCTGCCGCAGCCTCCTTTGCAGCCTTGTTGGCGGCGCGGGCAGCAAGGCTCGACTCCAAGGCGCGCTGTGCCACTTCGTCAAACTTGCGCAGCGTCTTCTCATAGGCACGGAGACGACGAGATGTGTCAAGAAGCTGGAGCGCCTTCAGAACCTCGCGCAGGCCCCAGAGTTGCGAATGAGCCAGCAGAAAGTCGGCCAGGACAAAGTCATGGCGAGCCCACGCGGCAGCGAGCACGCGCACTCGGGCGCTCTGGCTAATCTCGACACTGTACTTGAGCAAAAGGGTCAGTGCTGCCACGTACTCGTTGTATCGCTTGACCTGGGCGTCGTAGTGCGGCACAAAGGCGGCAGCGTCGGTGAAGAGCGCCAAAAAGTCTTGCTGCTTGATCAGCTCGTCGACGCTGGCCAAAGCCTGGACGAGATCTCCCTTGTTGTTGCGCAGAATGTGCTCCAGAGCCGGCTTCGTGAAGGCACCGTTTGCGGCAATGGCCGTCGGGGTGGATGCAGAGTTGGCGGCGGCGGCAGAGGTCGCGGACGACGAACCAGCGGCAGCGGCGGCAGCAGTAGACGGCTTGCGCTTGGCAGCCACATCGAGGACGAGTCGATCGAGGGTGTCGCGGTCAACTTCCTCGACGGGGAAGGACGGGTGCGTCGATTGCCGGTCGTCGACCGACGCCCGCGCGCGTGCAGCAACCAGCTCGCGACGCATCTCAGTCCACCTGGCAGCGTTCCCAGCGTGAGTGTCGGCAACGTACGTTTCAAACTTTTCCGTCTCAAAGTTGTAGCCGTATCGCGGCCCGTTGACGCGGTCTCCAACGACGGAGTTGGCGGGAGCAGCATCGGTGCTCTTCTTCTTGCGGTACTTGCGGCCGATGCGGGAGCCAGAGGTGGACGAGGCAGCCAGGGTCTCCATGATGCTCGACAGCTCGTTGTTCATGCGCCCAGACTTGGCAACCTCCTCCTTGTACGCCTCGAGTTGCTCGTCCGAGGACTCCTTGAGGCAGAACGCAATGAACATGTCCGTGATCAAGTGGAAGCTGGTAAACTGAATGTACTGGCCGCCAGTCATTTCAGAGAGGGGCTTGTAGAAGGCCTCAGCTGTGGTGTTGTGCAAGGCGCGCACGCCATACACCTTGATTCCCCTGGAGGCCAGCAGCTCGGCCTCCTCGAGCCAGTCCACTCCAAGCGTCGTGTACTCTGGGCGATGAGGGCAGCCTGAAAGGGAAAGAAACAAACAAACAAAGCGAAACAAACAAACACGGCAAAGACAAAAAAAAAAACAAAGTCAAATCGGGACGATCGCAAGAACAAAAGAAACTCTCCCGTCCAGACACTCACAGTCTCCGATAATGACGAGCGACTTGGCCGTGTCCTCAGACCAGCTCAGGAGCTGGGCCTTGTAGAGCGCCCACTCGTAGCACTCGTCGGCATCACCGCCGCCAGTGGCCGAGACGGACTTTGCGAACGCGCAGAGCTCGTCCTTGTTGCGGGACAGGTCCATGTATCGGACGGCGTACGTTGACTGGTCGTCGCAGTAATCGCCAATGCCCATGATGGAGATCTTGATGTCCTTGATCTCGGCAAAGAGGCGAGTGATGGTCGCCTCGAGGTTTTGTCGGACTGTGAGCAGGCACGACATCATGCCTTTTTTTGTTTGTAGATGATTCAAACAAGATGCAGGATGATGATGATGATGAGTGTGCTGAGTTTAACAGTGGATTTTCCACACTTCTGAGACCCAAACGTTCTCAGATTTCTACTTACTGCCAGTTGTGTCGAATGCAAAGCAGATTTCGACCTTGTTCGTTGTTGGGACGTTGCCAAACTCGGCGTCGCCCTGCTGCTTCATGGACGAGATCAGCGACTGAAGAGAGCCAAACAACCAAAACCAAACAGAAGTGAAAAAGTGAGTAAAGTTCCATTGAATTGAATTGGAAGGAAAAGAAAAAAAAAAAAACTAAAAAAAAAAAAAAAAACTCTGCACTGTGATCTCTTTGCTGTTGTTGCTGATGCTGCTGTTCCAACAGCGGCGGCATTTGCAAGTCGCGTTGAGTCGTACCTGCTTCAGTTGTTGTTCGTCAGCCATGGTTGTGTGTTTGTGTGTTGAAGTTGAAGTGCAAGTTGAAAACGCGCTCTTGTTTCAAATGTCTGACGTCAAGATTGGAAAAGAAAAAAAAATGATGAAACGTCAAAAAAATAATAATGTAAAAATTCAATAGAAAAGTAAAAAAAAAAAAAAAAAATGGATTGAAACGATACAAAAATGGAAGCGAAATGCGTTGGCTTTAAAAATGAATGAAAAGCAATGCTGTAATCATGACGAAAAGTTAGGTAAACAACAAAACGAGCAAGTCATTCAAAGAAGAAGAAGAGCAACAAACAATGGGTGAATCGCAGCGCGCCACGTCAAAAGCGCAGAGAAGGAATTGGAAGGTCGCGGAACGACTGTACTGCAATGGAGAGCGAGGTTGTGTCATGACACTGGGGGAAAAAAAGTACAGCATCACTCTGATGGGGCATGGATGAGTTGTATTACGCGTGCGCACAAGAACATCATGGGCGTTGCTTCATCGTATGGAAATCGCACAACAGAGGAACCATAGGCACAGGTGACCAAGCAGCTCGCCATCCATCATCATAACAAATCAAAATGTCTGCAATCGCAGCAGGCTGGGTGATGGGTCGGCAATGGCGGCGGTCGGGTCGCAGGTGAACGACACGGTCAGCGCAAACCGAATGCCCTTGGTCACCTTGCGAATGTGGTGGGGATTCTCGGGCCCGGACGTAAACATCGACACTCGCCCTAGCCTGGGTTGGATGAGCGCGGAAGTCACCAAACCGCCGTCGTCATCGGACAAGGCTTGCTCGTGTTTGAGCGGAGTTCCGTCCTGCTCGGCAACAAACGCAAACTCGCCGCCCTCAAAGTCGACACCAAAGTCGGAGAGATACAACAAGGATGTGTAAACAAACGAGCCATACGTCGTTCGGTCGACGTGGACGTGCCAGTACTCGTCGTTCAGCGTCGCCGCCGTCTTGGAGCCATCGATGCGGGAGAAGAACGTTGGCTTTGTCAGGAACAGCTGCTGCAACCCAAACTCCTTCATGATGGCTGCGCGAATACGGTCCTTGATCTCGGTATACAAGGCAAGGTCTTGCCGCGGGAAGAGCTGCGCGCGACGCGGTGCAGTCAAGGATGCATACACGTTCACAAACCGCGAGCCTTTCGACAAGGCGCCTGTATGCAGATCGAGAATCGTTGGCTACTCTCGCGGGGGGTGGTTCAAGGATCATGGTGAGCATGGCACAATGTTCCAATTGGCACAACAACTCTGCTTTTGAACTCGAAATGGTCGTCATCGCTTACTGCGCCTCCACCGCCTCCAAGGGCCATAACACGAGAAGCCATACTACGCAGTCGAATCGCCTCGTCGGCAGAGCACAGCTCGTCAGTGATGATTCGGGCGCACTTGGCGGGTGTGCAGCCCGGAACGGCTGGCTTGTACTCGTCCACGCAGGCAACATTGTGCACGGTCCACGGCAATGCAATCGTAGACGATGCCAGCAATGTATCTGCACTCGGATCGCCCGCCACTGGCGCGTCTGTACGGTCTGAGCTGGCTGCGTTGGTGGACGACGCGAATCCGCTCTGCGCAGGCAATCCAGCCATCCAGGCGGCAGCAGCAACCGCGGCCGCAACCACAGCGAGAGCGACCACAGTCATCAGCCCTGGATGAGCACTTTGGGCACCTTGGGCTTGGGTCGGCGCAGGACGCTTGGCGGCATCGCTCGTCGCTCGTGCTGCAGCGGATTGAGATGCCCGCGCCATTTTCTGAGAACACTCGAAAAGGCGACTAATTCAAAAGAGCACACACACACACACAAACACGAGTGGGCTGAAAACTTGTGGTGTTCGATCTACATGTCAAAGAGGTGCCTTGAAGAAAATAAATCATTGCCATCGAACAAATCTCAAAAACGCAAACACTGCTCCAAACACCACATCATGCATCACGCTGAAGGAGATCATCCCTTGAGAACACGACAACTAGACGGTGTGCTGGAACTTGCGGCGTACGGTGAGCTCGACCAACCCGCCAAATCCGCCAATGTTGAGCGAGAAGGAAGCACCCAAGGAAACGGCCTTGAAATGCTGCTTGTAGAGCACCAACAGGCGCTCCAGCCGGTCAACCGATCGGCGGAGACCCGAGTGGATGACTGGCGCGCTTAGTGGAGACGTTGCGGCTGCCATGACATCCGCTGCAACGGCACTAGGCGCAGCGTCAGTGGAAGCAGGCGATGTTGCTGCAGTCGAATCGTCGTCCGCAAGCAGATCAGCGTCCTCATCGACATCGTCCTGTGCATCGCTGGTCGCGCTGGCAGCGCCGGCAACCGAAGCAGCACCAGCAGGTGCCGGCGTAATTTGCGCGCGCGACTCGCTAATCTCGACCGACGTCTCCACCCAGAGGACCAAGAACGGGAAGGAAATTTCAACGCGAATTGTGCCGCTCCATCGCATTGACAAGAAGCGCAGCTGGGCGGCGGTCAGTGCAATCAGGAGCTGGCGCTGGACACGAGGCGCCTTTTTCGTCACATCAAAGCCGTCCGACGCACTGGTCGTCAGCCCGGCATCGGCAGCTGGCTGGGTGGTTGCAATCTTGGACTTTGAGCCGCCGAGACGCAGGCTAGCAAACTGCGCAAACAGCCCGGTGGTGGCTGTGGCGGCGGCGGGAGCAGTTGCGGCGACTGCAGCGGTTTCGGTGGCCTGCAGCTGTGCAACAGACAGCCCGCGGGCAGAGAACGCCTGAACAACAGACTCGACGCTCACAGAAAGGTCAATGGTGAACTTGACGTTAATGAACAGACCAGGCATCGGGACGAGAAAGTAAATCCTGCAGCCAACATCGCCGTTGATTTTGAGCTGCTGCATGCACATGGATGTGGACTCGAGGCGATGAAGCGTGTCATTCACAGACTGGTTGAACCTGCGCACGAGCCTTCCGCGTCGTTTCGACGACCCTGCATCCGGATCGTCTTCGACAAGCTCGCTCAGCAACGACTCGTCCTGCTTGTTGGTCGCAGATGGATCGTCCATCGGCGTTGATGCATTGGAAGACACAGAGATCCGGCCTTCCACGCTTCCAATTTCAATCTCAGCCCAAAGTGTAAGGTTGAAGATTGGCGAGGTGACGGCTGCAGACACCTTGGCCTTGCCTTTCCACGAGAGCTGCTCCAGTTTGCCCCGAACGGAGCGCGTCGACGCAGCCAGGCGCGTCTCCACCGCAGAAGTTACCGTGTCTCGCTCTTGTTTCTGCGTGCATTCAAGTAAGAGACCAACCCGAAAAACAAAAACCACCCAAAAAACGAACAATCTGAGCCAAGATTCATCCAAATAAAGGCAATTCAATCGTTTGACATGGTTGGTTTTGTGTTTGTGTGTTCTTCCAAACCAAACTCCCACCAAACAGCTCACAGTGCCATTCGAGCCCAAATTGCTCGGCTCCAAGCCACTCCCACAGCTGAATGCCATTCAGCCATCATGATGATCAGCTCGTCGGCGTGTCGTTCCAATTTGTCGGAAGAGCGTCACCAGTCGTACTCGCTCGCTCGCTCTCCGTTCATCTGTCCGCCTCGCTCGTACTGCTGGGCTTCGAACTCACATCCTTTTGCAGGTCTTCCTTGGTCTTGGTGGCGTCCTCGCCAGACTTGTTGCGTCGGAAGCGTGAAAACAGCTGATCGGAGCTGTGGGTAAAAGCAGAAGCCGAGAGCGGGCGAAACCAGCGACCGGAGCCGAAGAAACCAAAAGGAAGAGGGCAAGCGACAGAGTGAGTTCGCATTGAATGAAAGCAGTGAGCACGATGCGATGAGGCGGGTGGGGAGGAAGGGCGACGAGGTTCACGAATTGAATCATCACAACAAACCTCATCCAAAAGGTCAGGTGTGAAATGCAGAGTAAAGAGTGGAGCTCAGAATATAAATACAGTACACAATGACTATAAATACATGCATAGTGCAAAAATGTAGAGGCGCGTGTTGAGTGTGTGGTTGTCATTTTTTGCTGGTGGAAACGAAACTTTGCGGCAATCTCAAACAGGGTGTTGTTCTTATTCAACAATAGAACAAACTTAAGCGACAAAATCAACCAAGCGCAATACAAACATACTGTACATGTACAGGAGGCGCGAACAAAACAAAAGCACCTCAACGAGTTCTCAACGAAAACCAAGAAAATATTATTCCTGGATGGATTCTAATCTTTCACTGGATGCTGAGGCTGAATGGATGGCTTCTAATGGTAGTCCGCCTTGGACGGAATCACGCGCATGGTCCTCAACGCCGACTCCCGCGTTGTCGGAGGGAGCAGCCGTCGTCGTCAGCGGTGATTCAATCATCCCAAACTTGGTCAGGCTTTCCGTGCTGCGATCCATCGCTTTGCCCTTGTTGGGTTTCCGTGCAGCGTCGTTCAAGCTCGTGGTGTGCCTGGGTAAGTCTGCAAACTTGCTGCCAGAGGAGCGGAAGGACTGGAAGGGCCGAGAAATCCGCGCAATAATGGACTTTGGACGGGCAGGAGGAGCCAAATCGGCTTCGCGGAAGCTCGCGCGGGCCTTGGGGTTTTCGTCAGCGGCAATCGCGTCAAACGCAAGTGAGACGTGCTTTGCTGGTTTACTGCTCGGTTGCCGGACCATCGGTTGCAAATTGACCGCATCAGCATCGCCAGTCGGCTCGTTTGCCGCCTCGTCTGTCGGTCGGATTTGCACAACCTCGAGCCCTTCGCCCGGGCTCGCCTCGCTCTGCTGCTGCTGCTGCTGCTGCTGTTGCTCTTCCAAAGCGGCCGCACGATTCGCTTGCTCAATAACGGACTTGCGCGTGCTGTGGCGGGCTGCCGTGTTCTTCCGCTCGACCGCAGCATCTCCTGCATTCTCGTCGGATGCGAAAAACGAGCTAAACCGATTCATCGCCTTCGGTACGCGGTAGAAGGTGTAGCGACGCGGCGGTGGCGCGGGCTGAGCGCCAACCCAGTCCTCTTTCGTGACGCGGTACAGGGACAGGGCAACGAGAATGGCCATCAAATTGCCCGCGTCATACACGAGGAACTGAAAGACGATTTCGGCGGTGATGGTGGGCGGGGATTGCCGAGGATAATCGATATTTGTGTGGTAGGTGGCGTACAGACTGAAGAGGATGCCGCCAATGGACACGAGCTCGGCGCACGTCAAAAGAAACAGTCGAATGACGAGCTTGCGCATGGCCTTGATTCTTTTGCTTTCGACGGCCATTTCTTCAGCAGTGTCAAGCTTGAAGGAAGTGTTCGAGTCGCTGCGCGTCGCGCGCGCATGCTCGCGAGCGCGTGCACCCAAGGCACGGGGCACTGCTGCTGCGGGCTCCGAGGCACTCGACGCCGAAGCCCCTCCAATCGAATCCATCGAGGGGGTGTGCAACAAGCCTGCGGATTCAGACCCGGATTGAAAGAAGGCCGTGGGTTGCATTGGTGTGCCGGGCTCTGACAGCATGAGACCCGTGGTCGACGGAGTTTGAGACAGTGGGCGCCCCTCCGCAGCAGCAGCAGTGTCGTTGCTGCCAGCCGAAGGTGACTCGCTTGCCGCCGAGCTGGTGCTGTCGCCAGTGTCGATGCGGTGCCGATTCAACGACTTGGAGCTAAACGTTCGCAGCGTCGTTCGCCAGATATTCTCAGTGCTGGTCGATCGCTTCATTGTAGATCGCTGAGCTGCGGAGGCCACTGCCTCTGCATACCGCGCTTCTGATTCCCGCAGCAGATACAGCACCATGGTGCCGTACAGCATACCAAGCACCGCCCACACCAGAACGAGTGCCACGGTGCCTGCGGCCTTTGCAATGAAAAAGCTCGGGTACGGGCCCAGCACGCATGCCAAGACGCCGAGCGCAGGAAACGCCAGCCATGCAAGAAAGTGTGAGAGACCCAGCAAGACGTGCCACCCGTGGCGCCGTCTCCGTGTCAGGGTTGCCTTGTGAATGTAGTCAATCCAGGATTGAACGAGCGAGAATCTGCAGCAGTGGAATGGAATTAGTCAGAGGCAAGGATCAAAAACACAGAGCGACAGAGAAAGAACAGGGAAAAGACAGAGGGAGGGGGGCGTGAGCGCTCGTGCTGATTGGCAACTCGTGGCAAAACTTTGGGGGTTCTTCTTACGCCATGGACAAGCTCAGAGCGGAGCAATAGTCGGTCAGCAACGAGTGGACCAGGAATGGAATGCGATTCGACCACGAATACAAGTCAGTCGTCCTCGCGAGAAGACACAGGGCCATCAGCGTCGAGTGGTAGATGGCCTGATGCTGAAGGCTCTTGAAGGAGAAGCCCTTGCATCGCAACACTGACACGAGTTGGAAGATTGAGTATGCCGCAAAAATCAGGGCAGTGCCGCCCAGTACCCCCTGAGGTGCGTAGTAGTGCGCCCCGAGGTCTTCGGCGATGGTTTGTGTGCAATTGAGCGACAATGCGAACGGAAATTCGCAAAGCTCGGCCATTCTGGGTGGAAGGACGTCGCGTTCCTGTGCTTTTGTTTCGCCTTGTTACGCGCTTTTTTTTTCTGTTCCAAACAAACAAACAAACAAACAAACAAACAAACAAACAAACAAACAAACAAGCATGCGTTGCGCTGTGAGCCACTAACCATCCACTTTTCACACCAGCATGCATCCTATTTCGTAGTGAGCGTTGAACTACAACGACGACCGCGCCCCCGCCCCCCCCCCAATTCAATCCCCGCTTCAAACACGTTTTCGTTGAGCATGTTGCTTGTTTGGGTTTTGACTGTTAAGGTGATGATTGGAATCTTCCGGTTGTTTTCAAACAAGTACAAAAAATTCGACTTAATCGTGATCAACCAACGGTGATATTGATATTATTGATTGTTCAACTGTTTCGTTTGGTTGCTTCCATCGGCATCGCTTTCTGCTTGCGCTTCATGCAAAAACCACAGACATCACGTTTGTGGCTTGCTTTCGTCAACCCACATCAGTCGACACAACGCGACTGAGCTTGACCTGACCCCACTTTCTGAAAGGAGCCAACCTCCATCGGCAGTTTTTCAAACTCGCTCTCTCTCTCTCTCTCTCGCTCGCTCTCGTTCTTCACCCACACTTCAGTGCTGCTCGCTCGAGTGCAAACGCGTCCATAGCTTTGGATTTCCTCATCCGACATCATTTGTCCCCCTGCTTCTTGTGGTTTTGTCTTGTTTTGATGACTCGCTCTCTTTCAAAGCAGCATCGTCGCGAGTCGCTCTCGTTGTTCGCTTTTTCAAATCCACAACTCTCCGTCCTCATCCAACCCCGGCCAATCC